TTCTTCAGTTTATCACAAACATTCAACATCAACACATGAAGGAACACTTCATCCTTCAGTTTATCACAAACATTCAACATCAACACATAAAGAACACTTCATTCTTCAGTTTATCACAAACATTCAACAACACATAAAGGAACACTTCATCCTTCAGTTTATCACAAATATTCAACATCAACACATGAAGGAACACTTCATCCTTCAGTTTATCACAAACATTCAACATCAACACATAAAGAAACACTTCATTATTATTAGGTGATATAATCAACAGAGTGACCGGCACTGAAGCGTCTGTCATCTGGATTTAATGATATGATGAGGAGGAGGGTCAATGAGAGTTTTACCTTCAGTAGTATTATACTTTATGTACATTATGTTGGCCTGTGGGAAAGTATAACACTTTTCTAACATTTTAGTCATCACATTCCTTGTTTTAATGTACCGTATAACTCATCATAACACCTTGCAGACTTGGATTACAATATTATGTGATAAGAGAAAAGTACAAGGAGAGCGTTCGGTGTGTATGGAGCAGATGGACAATCACTGTTGTGCGTTTTATCCGCCCTGTTGGTGCTGATAACTGGATCAAATATGCACAAAGACCGTCCACAGATGTCGGCCATGTGTCTTGTCAATGATTGACCGGAGACTTGTCGTTTTTCTTATCTGAGGCCTGTTGTTAAACAGAAGTAAGCTCGCCTACAGTCAACCAGACACGTAGCAAGATAACAGATGCATTTGAATGGGGTCTCATTACACAGAAGTCTGAATATCTTCTCTGAGTGATGGGATCAGCCTGCCGTGCTGTGGCTTTGTGGCACAACATTTAAGCTTCAGTTTGTTTACATTGCACGATTCCCGTTGGGGTATGCCGGCCGTTCTTTTATTCTGTGTGAACCACGGACACACATTTATTTGTCTTTGAGCTGAAAGCCGTGATATTGTGCGTGAGGTGCGCGTTACCTTTTTGAGACGGCGTCTGCTGGAACCGTGAGTCCTCTTGAGGAAAAGCTTTGAACACGGTGAAGATTTAACCCACTTTGTTCTGTCGGTCACAGCTCTGCAAACAACTTTGCTATTGAGTTTCTTAAGATAACCGTTATTCCCTTTTGCATTCATGTCTCCTAAATAGCATTCGGTTCATTCAGAGAGCCATTAAACAGAGTGTCTGCTTCCTCCTGTGAGATACTTCAATTACAAGTCCTCCAGCTAGACGGAGCACATCTAGTGCAGACGAACTGGAAGAGTTGGTCCTGATGATGGGGTTCGTCTGTACTGCAGCTCGTATCACTCCTTTAATTATGTACTCGATGCACTGGGGAGTGCTCTCTGTACACGACCATGTGTATTATAATGAAGTCTTTTAAATAAGTACATTTAATGTTGCACTCGCCGCTGTAGCTCAGACACTTTTTAATTACAGTTTTCTTGGAAACGTTCATTTTGATGACAGAACTTCGTAAAAACTTCTCTTCCACTTCGCTGACTCTGCAAACTCGAGTGAAGTTCAACCAAAACGTTAAAACCAGGGCTGCAGCTAACGATTATTTCAATATCTATTAATCTGCCGATTTTTATCTACGCCAGACGTCAGCCTGTGGGGAGATCATGCGTTCGATCGTGAGCGAGTGTGAGTGTGTCTGTCCACGGCTAATCTCGCTCACTTCTGGACTCATCAGCCTCGTATTTGTTGTGCTCATCTATGACTGCATGCTGAAAGACCTCTTGTGGTTGCGGTGATTCATAGTTTTTAAAAAAAGTTTTCATTTAGCATCATTGACTCCCGACTCCTCATAACTGACCGGTAGCCGTACTTGGTCTGTTGCAGGCCACATGTTGGCCCTTTGTCGTGGCTGAAAATCGAAAGAAACTCCTCCCAATGCGGAAGCTTTAGGATGAAGACAATATTTCATTTGTGCTTGGAAAAATAACTTAAAAACTACAAACCTGCTGCAGATTGCGTTCTTCATCAACTGGTCAAACAATAGTTTCAGCTCTAATGAAGACGAGTAACTCTGCTGCGAACTTTTTGAAGTGCTGACTCATCAACCCATCACAAGGCCCCCCGGCTTCTTTCCTTTCATCAGATATATTTCACTATGTAAATAACATTACAGCGGGACTGTTGCATTATATGAGGAACAGCTCTGGAAGTAGAAGGAAGTAGTAAAAGAAAATCCAGATTTTTTTTTTTTATTTGTATGTGTCAAAGTTTCACCTGAATAAATTGTAAAACTTAGTAGTTTTGCATAGTTCGTGTCCAGGCAGGATTCGGCTCATTTAGCCCAGGGGGCGGGGGGGTTTCTGGCGAGCAGCGACTGCAGAGGGGGGGGTCGGCCGTTGGTTACGATGGTAACGCAGGCCCAAGGTAAACAGTGGCAGCAGTGTTTCCAGCTGAATCGCTCAGTGTGTATCCTCAGCAGCTTGGAGTAAATGTAAGAGTCTCCATTCATATCCGTCGCTCCTCGCAGAGAGACGAGCACTTTATCCAGTGCTCAGGACCAAATATTGGGCGGTGGCACATTTCAATATTTATCTGAGGCACAAGTGAAGGAGACGTATTGTGTCCCGTGTGAATTGCAGCCACTGGTCTCTTCAGAGCCGGGACGTGGATTGTGTTTGTGTGTACAATAGAGGTTCTGATAGCGGCTATCTCAGGAACAATGAGCGGTCTGTGGAGAGCAGGACATATGGTACGAATCAGCAACAGTTGGGGCCAATTTCTTCTCATTGTGCTCCACTCAGACAATATATTTAATGGTGTCATTACAGACCCCACACACACACACACACACACAAACACACACACGAGGACTCTCCTACTCTGATCTCTCACTTTCATGGGTTAGGTTTGGATTGTTTACTTTGGTTTAGGACTCATTGTAGTCATGAACTAGATTCACTACACAATCAAATCCACTTATTATCAAAGCCAGCATCACTCTTCTTTATAAGTAACCCTATTAAATAGGCTCCTGTGTTGGTCATCTGACAATGTTTGCTGGCAATATATCTGCATTTTCCTCAATGTTTTAAAGAAAATTCTGCGATTGGCATTTTAGAACCTGGAGCCAGTGAACTTTTGGCATTTTCCTTTTTAAAGAAACACTTAAACAAGGAATTGATTATCATAAAACAGTCTTCAGTACGCAGCTGTTTAAGGACATTAGTTAGCCTAAACGTGTCTATATTTGGGCCTCTTTTCTTTATCTTTTCTAGATGTACGTCTTCAGTAGGAGCCAAAAGCCGCAGTCAGAGTATTAATAGAAAGATGAACACATCGCTGGTTTTGGTCTTTTCATGGGATTTGTTGACGATAAGAAAATGATAAAACACCACCGTCCTTGTCCTTTTAACATTTAAGTGGAATATGCGGTGGATCTCTGCTCCCATTCCCCACTACATCTTTTCATCTCTATATATCTTTCTTCTTTGTTTTGTCCCAGGTGTTGGACAAACACAGAGCCATGGACAGCATGGTGGAGCTGCTGCAGGTGTACCCCGAGGAGGACGAGGCCTACGGAGAGCTGCTGGAGGCCACGACTCAGCTCTACCACTACCTGCTGCAGCCTTTCAGGGACATGAGGGAGCTGGCAATGTTGCGCAGACAGCAGATTAAGGTAATACACACACACGCGCACACACACACACGGATACAAATACCATCTGTTTTGGGGGCTTGATTTAAGCTGTAGTCAGCGAGCTGGTCTGTCCCGGAGCACACTTTGACTGCCTCTCTGCTACATTCTACTCCACCGCCTACAATGTTATTCTGGTGGTTTTAAAAGCAATGGTTAGTGCTGGTAATGTCCTCCACTGAGCCTCCTAAGCCCACAGCAATGACATTAGTTGCCGAGGATATGTGTGGTGGTGGTGATGATGATGATGATGATGATGATGATGAAGATGATGTTGTTGTAGTAGCCGGTCTGTAGCTTTGCATCTGTGGCCTGCGTGGAGGGCAGAGGATCAGCCAGAGAGGCTTAACGACCAGCACGAGTAGTATTACAGCAGCCACTAAACCACTCAGTAATTCTGCAGCCTCGGCACACTCTTTCTCCTCTCGCAGCCTGTGTTGTTTCTCTTCATTAGAGGTTTTAAAACCCGCAGGTTAGTCTCCGCTGTCTCACAGAGCTCGGTTCAGTCTCAACACTTCAGCCCTGCAGGAATACATTGCAGATTTTTAAATAGTTTATGCACAAATGCATGCGATAGTATTGAAATGCAACAGCAGAATCAGCTACCGTCCTCTGACGTACCGCTTCACTGCTGCTAGCATTAGCTGTGGGCGTTTAATGTATGCCTTCTGTTATCGTAGGTGTCGTATCATAGAATTTCTTAACCGATTTATGCACATCAGAAATAAAGCTGAGATCACTCTGAATCTGAACTTCTGTGCATCACGTCTGTGTGTTCACTCGACTCAGTTGGGACTAAACCACTTCCTGTTGTTGTCAGACAGCTGTCCCTTTCACATCACTCAGTACCTTCACCTCACGTCTCTGCCTCACAGTTTGAGCTCCATAGTGAGCAGTAAAAACACAGATTCAGGACGTGAATCTTCATCATTCTGCGTCATTGCTTACAGGTGATGCCGTTCTATTGTCAGCAGAAAGTAACGTACATGTTGTTTTTCGTTGCATTTACTTCAAGTGACCCCGCTGTGTTCAGGTGTGTCCGTTCAAGGCGGAGTCCAAGAACAAACACACAACAGAGGAGAAAGTCAGTGGTGGAGCGGCAACGATAACAAGCTAATCTCACAGCGTGAGAATGACACGAGCACAACGTCGGACTTTGATGTAGTGTTTAAAAGAATTGAGGGCTGTTTCAGCAGACACGTCTCTGTCTCTCTGTAAAGACTCTTCAGTCGTGTTGTGAGAACTTTCCCGTCTCTTCACTACATTCCTCTCACAGCTCGCTCATCCTGCATCGTGTCCTCACCAACAAACACGAGTGTGACTGCGTGTGTGTGTGTGTGTGTGTGTGTGTTGCAGTATGATGGTATTTGGGTTCTTGGGCGGGTGCTGCTCTAAATTAAGCATTTCTTCTTCAAGGATCAGTATGGTTACTGTCAACAACATGAAGAAACTCCCAGAACATCAGTGACTGCATCTACTAACGAGTAGTGTGTGTGTGTGAATCTTAAAGATGTGCCATTGTGGTGAACAGGTTATTTAAAATGCATCAATGAGCCTCACTGTTGCGCAGGGGGACATGTTCCTTGAACACACACTGTAGTGTATTTACATTGCCACAAATACTCACTAGAGCTCCACATGTGGATTAATCCGCCGCTGAAAATAGTCCTCAACAAATGTCCTCCTTTTTGAGTGAAAAAGGATTAAAAACTGCAGTGACCAGCTGTTTTATAGATTTATTTATCCTTTTGTAAGAATGAAACGATGTGTTTGTGACCCGTTTAGAGACAGACTAACTCATCTTTGGTGTTTGCTGACAATAAAAACATTGTATCTTCAAATTGCTTGTTTTGTGGGACCAAAAATCTTCAATTTACCGTCAAAGAAGACTAAAAAATATGGTTTCCCTCGACCAAATAAATTCTTTGTCGGCTAATCGAGTAGTTGATATAATCGACAAATCTATAGAACTGAGTTTCTCCACAAAGAATCACACAGAAGCGTCTCTTTGAACAGTCATTTAGTATGGAAAAGCCAAACGATGAACTTATCAACTAAATGAATCTGAGTCGGCTAAAACCAAAATGACCGATTGTTAAAGATGTGTTATGAATCTATATTTTATAATGGCAATGTGTTCCGTAATGTAAAACCTTCCTAGAGATCCATCTTCTTTCTCTGGAGACGTGAGTTGTTAAAGAAGTGGACGGAGCATCTGATGAAAGATATATCTTTGGAGTTGCATTATGGGAACTGTAGTGTGCAGAATTTTGGGCGCTTGGCACATAGAGGCTTAAAGTCAGGTGTGTCTTACATGGAGCTAAATCTCGTTGACCTGAAGCCTTGAGGTGTACACTCCCCTCGTTTCGGACTCACTTTACGGAGACTCTGAACTCTTCGAGGTGGAAAGGTTTCCCGGCTCCACCAGCTGCTCCCCTCGGGGCGATCCAACGGCTGAAAACAAAGCTGCATGCAAATGAGTCCTCGATGCCGGCAGAGGCGGTTGGTTTCTCCAAACTGATGAGTCAGGGGATCGTGGAGAGCCTCTCTGCTTATTGTGACTGTAATTTACATACGGTTTGCATCCTGCTACACTGATTGATGGAGGGACAGGCCGTCAATGACTTCATGTGTGACTGCACGTGGAAACACGTGAGGACGTTAGAAAGCCGACAGTGAACTCAACTGTAGAGATGTTTTGCAGGAGGTTAGGGGTGATGAAGGGTTTGTTAGCCGTGACCTTTCTAAGTTGTTGTGTGTTTTGGGTGCGGTGCAGGGTCGGTGTCCGGTTGCCTGGAGGGTCGGAGGTCAGCCATGAATTAAGAATGAGGTTCCTCTGTAACGTGTCTGCGAGACTTCTGTACCGCAGTGAGCTCCAGTTACTGATGCACTGTTACATGGCGACGGGTGTTTATTCCTCCAGCTGTCAAACTTTACTCACGTCTGTAAATACCACGTTCAGTAAAAAGTGTTCCTGAATGTTCTTAATTAAATACATCATGACTCACAGAAACACCTCTATGGTTATTGATTTAATCAAATGATTTCCTTGAATAATGAAACATGCTTGTCAGTTTTTTTTAAAGCCAAAGCTGACGTCTTTAAATGTCTTGTTTTGTGCGACTAACGGTTAAAAAAACCCCATAATATTCAGTTTACAAGCAGACTGCGTAAGAATCTGTATTTTAATGCGTGAAGTTAAATTACAGCAGATAAAACGGACTCGATCCAGACATGTGTAATCATGAATACAAAGGTTTCATGAAGGAGAGGTGGAGGTAAGACGGATCCAGATGTTTACATGAATCCCTGGTGATAACTTTGTCATCGTCAACACATCTCATGAAAAGACAAAATGTGTCTCAACTTCCCACTGAACAATCTCACAAATGTATAGTTTCATTTCTTCAAAAGAATCGCAAAAGCTTTCAGCAAACGTCACTTAAACGGGACAACGCGGTGCATTTGTTGGGGACTACTTTCAGCGGCGGATTAATCCGTGTGAGTATTTTCAGCAGCAGGACGGTGAATGTGGGACTGAGTCAGAATAAGCCACCGCGTGTGTTCATGTTAATGAAGGAACATGTCAGTCAGAGCAACCGTGAGGCTCATTGATGTGTTTTTAATCATTTCTGGACAACAATAGAACTCTGTGGCACAGCTGGATGAGATGCATCAGCCTCTGGATACACATCTCCATTGTTTTCTTCTGACTTTTCATGAGCCATCATGCAAACCTTTATGTGGAGCTCACCAGTGTTATGTCCATCCAGATGCCTGATAATCACTGCCTAGTTTCTCTCACTGTTATAACTCGACGAGATAAAGCTCCACCGTGACCGTATCCACGCTGTGATCCCGGCACCGCGGGAGCTGACCTCACGTCTATTTTCAGAGAGTTTGACGCGTCTGTGTTTTGTCACAGCTGTCGACCACCAACAGGTGTTGAAGGAAATCACTCACGGTGGCATCTTCCCCCATCGCGTCCCGCCTGGTTTTAGTTGTACACAAGTTGGGAGCTGACTTAAATACAAGGTGTTAAACTGCTTAATTATGTAGTTTGTTTACTGGTATTCACAGACCTCTGTCTCTGTGTGTGTGCATCCCCTTGTGCTGCAGCCTTTACATTAAGTCAGTTCAGACTTGCGTGTAAAAGGCACCAGGATGTGAGACAGATGTGTTAGATTAAGGGGTGCAGGTCCGTCAAGACCTAAATGAACTAAGTGCGGTTCAAGAAATCCTTAATTCTTAAATCACAATCATGTTGTGTTTGAATACGCTCCTGAAGCTTCATTGTAAATAAACATGTCTGCTCTGCACGAGTCGTCAACATGAAGTAAACGGATGCTTTTAGTGTCGGTGTGACTGATCTGCCTTTTGTTGCTCTGTTGATGTTGGCGCCTGCTCTCCTCCTCCGATGTGTTCCCGTGTTGGTGCTTTGGTTACTGTATGCTTTGTGTTACAGGATACCTGAACAATGAGCTCACTCACTGACTTTTGACTTCATATTTTCTTTCTCTTTTTCTTTTCTCGACTCCACTCATTCCCAACTTTCAGACTTTTTCTTTCTGGTCTCTGATGTAATCTCTCCTCCCTCTTTCGCTCCCGGTTTCACCCCAAAACCACTCCCTGTGCACACACACACACACACTGTAAAAAGCACAGAGTGTGCTAGCGGACATAAATCGGGGCCTTTGAGGTTTGTTGGTGTTTATTTCTGAGTACCTACACACATCTGTTCTCCGTTGAGATATTAGTGTATGACTTTAAGTGCACGAGGCTCTCTGAGGAAGTTAACCCGCTTGTGTACATTTTGTTCCATGTGGTCTTCTCTTGGAGGTGGGGGGGGTTCAGGTCTCCACGTGGCGCTGCTTCCTCCTGTTTCTCACTCTTTTCCACATGGCCTGAGACGAGCTGGTGAACTCTGGTTGATATGATGTGACGTTGTGCCACGTAACATGAACTCCTACTGAGGTGTGTTCAGCGTTTTCTCTTTCTGTTGTCAGAGATCTGTTTTTGTCTTTATTTATTTATTGTCCCAGCAGCCCAGTAGGACACTGGGTTAGTGTCACATAAACATGCACGAGCATGCCAGGCGTCAGTATCACCGCCATCTGCTGTCATGGGCTGGTATTACACTGAACACTGCGGTGAATGGTCTGTGCTGAACCAGAGGTTTTCAGGGGAAGAGGTGAGGCAAAGATGCTGTGTGAGGAGGTTAGTTATTGTTTGTTCTGCTGCAGCTCATTAAAGCCCAGTTTCCTGTTTGTGTCATCATAGTACTCCTCCACGGAGTCATACCGGAGCACTCGGACATGACGCACATTTGTAGGTGAAGTGTGATTTTTCCGAGGCGAACATTTCAATGTCCGCCACAAATTAAGGTCCATAAATCTGCTTGGAAGTCATAAGAAAAGACGACGCCCCTTTATAGCTGCAGAACTTATATCGGTGCTGATATCGGTATCGGTGCATGTCGAGCCAGTTTGCCAAAATGTAAACGAATATACAGACGATAAAAAGTCCACAGCTAACTCACTGAATCCATGGCAACACTTCCTGTTTACATCCCCTTCAAAGTTTATTATCTACCAAAGAATAGAATAATAATATGAGGGGAACACGACCAATAATATAAACGTTTGTCACGTTGCAGTAGATGTATATAATGTGTGTTAATGTTGGGGCAACGTGTCCGTACTCTCTGAACTCTGTTGTGTGTTGATCTTTAAGGGCCTGCTTTGACCCCCCCACAGATCTCCCTGGAGACGGAGCGTCTGGGGCCCCGTCGAGTGGAGGGCCTGAGGAAGGAGGACGAGGAGTGGCAGAAGAAGGCTCACGCCGCCGTTCTGTCCATACAGGACCTGACTGTCAAGTTCTTTGAAACCACGACTCGGGCACAGAAAGGTGAGCGAGCGTGAAAGGAGGCTTTTCCTGTTTTTATAAAGAGTCTCTTGTCTTTGCTGTGATGTGTTGTGTGTTTACTCCATGACAGAGTGCAGCTAACGCTCCACGTAGAGATGATTTAAAACCAACAGCCCCAGTCAGGTTTCCAACCTCGCATACCAAAGAGATTTCTACAAGTCCTCCAGAAGTATTTTAATCATGAAACAATTTCAGCTATGAACCGTTCGGAAACACGTCAACATGTTTCTGTTTAGACGAGGAACAGGCTTCACTGACCTCCAGTTAAAGCACATGTGCACCAAACACTGCTTTGTTTTCCATGTAAGGGCTGAAACTAACAGTTGTGTTCTTTGATTCGTCTGTGAATTACTCTCCGATTAGTCGATTCCAGGTTCAGTTTGTAAGACGGTAGAAAATAGTGATAAAATACAGTAAAATATGACGGTGGCGTCTTCAAACAGTCAGTGCAGCTCTGGTCCATCTCTTGACAGTACTGTTATACGTGTTGCAGCTTTGCATGAGCGGATGCGCGCCGACCAGAAGAAGTTTGGCAAGTCGGCATGGGTGGTGGCGGTGGAGCGCATGGAGCGGCTGCAGTACTCCGTCTCCAAAGAAACCCTGCAGCTGATGAGGGCCAAGGAGATCTGCCTAGAGCAGAGGAAGCACGGCCTGAAGGAGGAGGTAAAGTCCACCGACGCTGCTCACAAGAAGGTTTATCACCGAGGAAGATCACGCTGTGTGTTCTTATAGTGAGTCTGTTCAGAAGCCACAGTAACCAGGGATGGAAGAAGTACTCCAGATGGTAGCAGTACCACGGTGTACAAACACTCTGTAGAAGTCTTACTTAAGTACGAGTATTGGCATCAAATACTTAAAGTACTAAAAGTCCTCCTCATGCAGAGGGGCTCATAATATATATTATTTATTGGATTATAATTATTGATGCATTAATGTGTTCATCACTTTAATGTTGCAGCTAGTTAATATACTGCTGGGTAGTTTAATCTGTAATTATAAATAACAATGAATTAATAATATTTTTATTAATAATCTGAATCTGCAAACTAAGTACAAATGTTGGCAAATAAATTAGTAAAAAATACAATATTGGCTTCCAAAATGTAGTAAGTAGAAGTATAAATTATAAAGTGTACCTCCAACTTGTACTCAGGTGCAGTACTTGAGTAAATGTACTCGACGGTAACAAGAGCGAGGGACACGAACACTTTGAGAAAGAAGTAAGATAATGTCCGTGTTAGAAACATGAGCTCACGGCTCAGACATCCTGCAATGGAGTGAATAACATCCTGCTGTACAACAGTGGAAATGACTCATTGGGAATGATTGCAGGGGTCACGCACTTACTGTACAATACATGTGTACATGCATAAAGAAGTAGCTGTTGTAGCTCAGAGAGAAAAGGAACGCATGTTAATTAAAAAACAAGTGCGCAGACGGGAAGTACTGCAAAGTCACCCGTCCTGTGGCGGATCCCCTCCGCTCTGTGGTTTAGGAGAGTAATGCAGCAACTGTGCGTCTGCGTTTGTAGATGCAGAGTCTGCACGGTGGAGAGGACGCCATGCTGCGCCTGGACCAGCTGGAGGAGCTGTACTACGAGCTGCAGCTGCAGCTGTACGACATTCAGGCGGAGGTGCTGCGCTGTGAGGAGCTGCTGCTCACCGCTCAGCTGCAGAGTCTCCGGAGGCAAATGACCGGTGAGCATCTTTGAGGGCTTTAGTTCAGCTCCATGGAGCAAATGTGTCATTCAAATGTAAAACAGGCCATTCAGTTAATATCCACCACAAATCTATGGCTTCCAAAATGTTTGTGTTAATGTTAAGAATAAATATCGGCCGATATGTGGTTATGTCACTTATGTCATTTTTTATTAGCTAAAAATGAGTCTCAAGACGCCTTACTTTCCCAATTCTGTCTTTGCAGTTCTAAAAAGTTCTTTAAAAAAGTAAATTTTAAGAGCCAAGACTGATCTTTGTTTAGTGAGGTAATTACATTTATTCATGAGGGACCATTAAAATACAACAAAGGAATACTTCACAGTTAAGGCTGCTGCATGAGTTGTGTGAGAGTCTGTTCAGAGATGTGCTTTAATAACCTAAGAACCCGATGAAGCAGTGTTTATAACTGCGTTTGGTTGAATCTCTTCTGATGTTGTACCAGAGCGACAGGACGAGGTCGTTTACTACGACGCCTTTGAGAGCCCCGATGCCATGAAGGGCGACGAGGACCCGGCGACCCCGCCGCCGCCCCTCAGAGAAGAAGAGATCAGCGTCCTGCAGCAGAGGACGAGGCAGCTCGAGGCCCGCAGGGGCCGCATCACCGCCAAGAAGGTCTACCTCAAAAACAAGAAGGTAAGCGTCGACGATGAAGACGTCTCTGTGGAAGTGTTTCAGAACAGCTGCACAGGTCAGTTTATCTCCTTTTGTTTTTCTTCAACAGGAAATCTGTATCGTCAATCACAACCAAAAGATTCAACAGCGACAAGGTAGCCATGTGTCCCTACAGACACTGCAACAGGTAAGACACCACTGTGTGCAATTCATAAGCATTTTGAATGGGGCATAAAGTTCCCTCTGGTAAACCGTTTTTACCAAATACAAGTGTATTTGTCCAGGGCTTTTATTGTGAAAGGTAAGAACAGAAGTAGGGGATCTGGTCTGCGTTGCCTTGCCGTCTTGGTTTGGACTACGGAGCCTCCGTGTTGTTGAACTTTATACTGTATGTTTTAAATATGTCCGTTCTGCACAACGTGATTGGTTGATGCCTTAAATTTAGGACCGGGTTAGGAGGGTGGCGGGTGGGGGTGTGTTGGTTTCGTCCGCCTGGAAGCAGACCGAGAGCCTCCTTTTCAAACGGTGCGGTTGTTTAGTCCGAGTTGCATCGTTGGCGAACCACACTAAGAGAGACCAAACAATCAAACTTGTTTCCCATAAAGGGAGGTGAAGCCGAGGAAGACAATGAAGCCAAGAGCAACGCCAGAGTGAGTCAGGACAGGCAGAGGACTCTGGACCGACTTCGCAGCCTGAAGCAGGTGAGAAGCTCAGACGTCCACTGATGTTCAGCTCCTTCTGAAGAGCTCCTGTAACCTGTGACTGACCCCGGTGTGTCTGATCTTTTGTTACCAGCGTTATCCCGGCCAGGTGACCCTGAAGTCCAGCCGGCTGCGTCTGAGTCAGCCTCCCGGCCGGAGGAGGTCCGGCCAGCAGCACGGCACTCACTCGGCCAGCGTTCAGACCGACTGCATCTCGGATCTCCCAGAACTCTCTGCTCCTCCTCCACCTGACGCCTGCAGCTGCGACAGCATCTCTCTGCCTACGGTTCAACTCGATAACCTCGACTCTTCGCCTCCTTTCCTCTCGCTGCCTCTGTCACTGGGTGCTCCTCCTCCTCCACCACCTCCCCCTCCTCCACCTCCTCCCTCAGAGGACCAGCAGGGTGAGGGCAGGGAGGGTAACCCCAGCCCGGTGCGGCGTCTTGAATGCGAGTCCGAATCTTCGTCTCTGCCTCTGGCTCCGTTTTCCCCTCGCTTCTTTGACAGCAGTCAGCTGCAGACGGCGAGGAAGAAGCTGAAGAAGACGGCCTCGCTGGACTCGTCTCAGTGGAGGAGAGGTGAGGAGGGAACTCTTTTATTGACGTGTGTCAGAACAAAGGAAAAGGTTCAAGTTTAATTACAATAATAACTGCTTTATATAGAGAGGTGATCTCATCGTCAACATACCTTCTTCATGCATACATTCATTTCTTGCAGCTTTTCCAGGTTCGGGTTTTGTTACTTTCATTAATTACAACATTAGGAATTATTGTTATAAACAGCTTGGAAGTATTTAAAAAATTGTGAGATCTATCTATCTATCTATCTATCTCGTCCCCACTGGTTTTCCGAGATACTTTAATACTTGAAACAACAGGTGCTAAATTGCGTATTATACAGTTTTAAAAGTCTTTACCTTGTGCGTGAGGCTGACTGTAGCGTCGGTGTGTTTCCTGCAGCGAGCTCCCCCATGGACGAGGTGCTGGCGTCGCTGAAACGCGGCTGTTTCCACCTGAGGAAGGCCGAGCTGCGGGTCCTGGCCCCGGACCCGGACGACGACGGCGACAACATCCTGGCTCAGATCCGGCAGGGCGTCCGGCTGAAGAAGGTGCGGACCCGGCCGGAGCAGCAGCGCCAACACAGGAGCTTCACCCACTCGGCCGACGCTCTGACCCGCAGCATCCACGAGGCCCTGAGGAGAATCAAAGAGGCCTCGCCGGATTCCGAGTCGGAGGACGAAGGCCTGCCGTGCACTGACTGGGAAAACTAGCTATTGGAAGTTTTTATTTTTACGGATACGTGGAGCCAAAACGAAGAGGAAACAAGCGGACAAGCCGGGGTTAAATCACCTGGAGGTAGCTTGGTACAATTTGAACAAAAACACTTGATTTTCTTCTTTTTTTATATATCAGAAAACCGCTCAGAAGTATGTCGTTGTTTTTTATTCATACTTCTGTGGGTCGTTTGTAAAGATGGACCACTAATCTTCTTTTTTTTTTAAGTCGTTGCTGTGGCATCCTCGGCGAGGATACAACCTCTGACCTCTCATCATGTCGTCTACATGTCAGAGTCGTACTGTAGCTTGCTGTGATGGGTTTGTTTTAGGAAGTGAGTATTTAGTTTTTTACGTTTCTCTCTCTCTTACATCGACACAGTAAGCGTTCACTGAATACGCGTGCTGTACACTTTTACATTCAACCACGCGACAACCATCCATACTGTATATTTCACTGCATAGAAACGTTTATGCAGAGGAGGATCATTCCCACTTCCTTGAAGTAATCGTTTGACATTTTAGGAGATAGAGCTGCTGGCTGTAGCTTCATATTATACAGAAATTCTCAGCAAAATGGGCCAATAAGTATATTTCCCAAAAAATGTCAAACTACTACTTTCATTTCATCATCCTAGTAGGAAGAATGTAAAAAAACTGGCTTTGATTTGTGTATTTAGCAAATCAGTCATGCTTGTTTTTAGCATTTTCACTTTAAAAATGATAGATATATTCTAAAGAAGGTTGCATATAGAGGTCTATATGACTTAACAATATTTTAGGGGAAGGACATCAAAGTCCATTTCAATCTCCGTCATCGGTTCTGGAAACAACAGGAAGTGCTGACACTATGCTTTTAATGGTGCCAATTTGCCAAAAATGGGGCTCAAATTGGTTCCCACAGTGTGACTCACTGACTCCATGACATCGTACTTCCTGTTTACATCTCCCAAAGCATCATGGGAAATGTAATTCCAAAACCAAGAGCAGGTTTTCTAATAACAGGAGTGACAAAAACCCATAAATATCTACATATTCGTGTTCGGAACTTTGAAAGTTTAACACGCTGTAGCTGACAAGTGAGAGTTTATGTTAGAATACGATCCAAATAAACCGTTTACCTGATTTACTGTTTACCCAACAACACAGGATCAGACCGTTGGAAGATCAGCTGGTTCACAAACACCAACACTGGACATATTAGCACACAAACACCTGTCGGTTTTATCTGATGCATATTCATAACAAATTATATCTGTTGACTTGTGCATCCAAGGACGCCATTTTGACCGGGTCAGTATTTTGACAAAGTATATTATATATAAAATATATATATATTCAGCACCAATTGAAATATAAAGGATTACTTGAATATAGCTTTTGTCGTTTTCTCTGAAACTCAAAAGGATGGATGAAACATTTTAATATATGAAGAGTTCTCCTCTAATGAATAATAACGATCGCCCCCCGTTATCATACATTTAATTACCGATAAATCACAATTCATGACCCAAAAACATACAAAAGAATATTTTTTTTAATGGAGCTCTACTCTGCTGGAACAATTCTGCAGAATACAAAGTATTTAAATGATTGTTCTAGTAATTTCTCTAAAGCAGAATCTGAAATGATTCTCTGGTTGAAGCTCCTAAAATGTGATGATTTGCTGCTTTTATCTGTTTTACATCACTTTCTGTTTCTTGGGACAAAAGAAGCCATTTGAAAACGTTGCTTTGTGAGCATCTTTCACTATTTTAAAGACTCAGCGATTAATCGATTACTTGAGAAAACAACCTGCAGATGCCCCCCCCCTCTATTTATATACTTTAAACACACGCGTGTAACAAACTCCAGGATATCTGGTTCGGATACATGATGTAGAAGCTTCTCCTTGCAGCATATTTGAAGCCTGTCTGCTGGGCCGAGCTGAAGTCTGAGGCTTCATCGCCCTCTGCTGGTCGACATTTACACCACGTGATCATTTTATTAACCCGAGAGTCTTCTCTCCTTCCACTGCCTTCAAACATTCGTTTTCCAAGCTTGTTTACTTATGGAGTTGGTGTGTGTGTGTGTGTGTGTGGGTTTTATACCAGTCTCTTTATTATGTGTTAAACTGTGTCAAACCTGTCTTCAACTGAATCTCACCCTTATTCTCCTGTATTTAACAAGTAATGCACTGATGGTTACATTTAACAGGAACAGTTTGACTTTTGTTGGGGTGGAAATTCATTCATTCATCTTATTTCAGGCCGAGAGTTTGATGAGACGGTTACAAATACACTCGTGTCTGAGCTACAGCTAGCCGATGGTTAGCTTAGCTTAGCTTAAAGAGTGGAAACAGGGGGAACTGCTAGCCTAGCTTTGTTTAAATGAAAAACCTAGAAGCTACCGTTGCTCTGTATTGGCCGGATGTATGAGTACATAAGCGTTTGCTAACAAAGAAAGGTGATAAAATGAGTGTTGTGTTTAATTATATTAATAAATCTGACACATAATACTCCTTTAAACCACTAAACTGTAGTTTTACACTTTTGGTTTAAACAAACACGGTATAACGTGTTAATTAGGGAGGTTTTGAGTCGCTGGTAGCCGTTAGCTTTCGACAGAGCAAGGCTAGCTGTCCTCCCCTGTCTTTATGCTAAGCTAAGCTAATCGTCTTCACATTTCACATTAAAACGTGTCAAACTGTTCACTGTGAACATAATGGAGTTAAACAGCTGTCGTTTAAATAGAGAAACTGTTGCTAAGTGTTAGAAATCATCGTGACTCTTGAACGTGTTGCATGCAGTGCAACGACATCGTGGCTCAAACTGTGCTTCTCTTCCATCCACGGAGATCTTTAATGATATTTAACATTTTTTACATCATGTGTAACAGTAAAACTTGGCAGCAGATATTGGCTCAGTGACAGTAACTCCACACTGCTCTTATTTTGTAATTTTATTTGAGCTTATTAAACCATTGTGCTTTTGACAAAAACCTGTTTTTTAAACGTGCAGAATACGACACTAGTTGAACCTTTTACGACCTTATGCATGTGACGAACCCATCACAACGTAAGTGCAATAATTAAGAAGAAAAGTCATTTTTATGAATTAAAATACTGTAATGAAATGTAAAATTATATCCGCATGCCTAAATGTATTGAAGTATTTATTGAAACTTCATATTTTAAAATGATTTTTAAAAGCATACAAATGTAAATGTACTTTATAAAGTTTTCTTTTTTGTTGCTCTTTTTGTTTCCTATCATGACATTCCTCTCTGCTTTCTATATCCTGATTATATTTCCCTTTCAAAATAAAATTAAGCACCAACATGTTGTCTTAGAATACTCTCCGGTGTCTTTTATTTTAATAAATTATTAAGTAGTTTATAAACATTTAATAGATGGATTATATCAACAGCTATAACTCCTCTTCACTTTGCAGATTAACACAAAACATGAATCAACTAATACATTATGATTATTGATATAGACAGACTTTTGGTGTATTTTCATGCTGTTACTTTTACTCTAGATTTTGCCAGTAAAAGTATTTTTACACTGTAGTATTACTACTTTTACTCAAAACATGAGTACCAATGTGCAGCCCAGATTGTGAAAGAACGACACGACAAGTTGCATTTGGTTTTCTTTTACTATAAACTCAAAATTACAATTTGTGTTTTTAAGCATGTGGTATAATCAACATTTAAAAGTTTATTCAAATGTTTTATTTTTTCCTTTCAAGCTGTAATATTCATAATTTTCAACATGATAAAGTCACCGCTAAAATCATTTCAAGTCTCCCAAATGTACCCGAACCAACAACAAGCCCTTAAATAGTGTTCTTCAGGTGTGTATATACTTATTCCTCTGAACGGCGCTGAATTTTTGGCAATAGTAAATCCCACAAAAAAATAAAGTACCGTTGGTGCGTCTCTGGGCCAGCGGCTATGTCGGCAACAGTTCAAATCTGTACAGGAAAACATTTGGCAAAAGAAAAAAAGATTCTCTGCAAATCCAACCAGCAATTGCCTTCTTTATATTCTCATCTTCATAAATAGTTCAAAAATATTGCCAGTTTTTCCAAAAAACAAAACAACCTCAACAACCCACGTACCAGACATTTAAGATTAAGTGAAAACAAGATGCAAATAAAGATCTCTGCTCGTGTACAACTTTCATCTTCAGTAACAGTTAGTAATAAATTAACAACAAATCAAAAAAGGATTCAATCTTTGCACTTCAAGTCGCAACAGAAACGAGAGAGAGATTCACTCATACACAAACTCCATTTTTACAAGTGCACTATGAATTTATATTCTTTAAAAAAAAAAGTGTTTAGAAAGAAAGTGAATAAAATCTCGCTTGTGGTTTAAACATATCCGAGAGAGGAGTAAAAGTACCTGAAAGTGAGAGTGGAAAGTGTTTATTTACCCTCTGAAGCTCCCTTTTTTGTATTGCTCACATGTTGTATAAGAATATAAGACAAGAGTCCTCACCCGTCCGTCTTTTTTTGTTATTTTTTGGCAGTCCCTCGGTTGATTATAGTCACAGGAGGAACCTTTGTCTCTTCAAAACATTCGAAGCCCCTTTCAAACCTCCAAAGTTCAACTGAATAAAAATGAATCCGAGTGTAGGAAAAGCTGGAGTCCATCTCGTCTGACTCCCTAGTGTTCGTTTTGGCGGACGATGAAAGAAAGAAGATGAGGAGAAAAAAAAAAGCGAACAATCACCGGCTCCAGGTGATTGTTCGCACAATGCACCAACGCCAAGCTCCAAAAACAGAAAGCGCAGCTCGCCTTCAATTAATTCATTAAAGACAAAATGTTCCCGCAAACGGCATGATATTAAAGAAACGCGTGTTAAGAATATTCCAGAGCGGAGTGGAGGGAAGGCATGGACCAAGCAAAGCCTCTTTTACTTGGTTTCTTTGTAAACATGTACCGTAGCAAAAAAAAACACAAATGTGTACCTTTTTAAATGCATAAAGTCGTGTGTAAACTTTTACACGTATAAATGTGAAGAAAAGAAAATTCAAGTTACATGTCGGTGACGACGTGATGTGCCAACATGCAGGTCGTTTCCTCTCTGTGTAGCTGCGGCTGCGTTGGTCTCTCTGGCTGCGTCTGCGTCTGCGTTCGTCACTCTAGCTGCTCTCGATGAGCTTCCCCAGCGCGTCCCGCAGCTCCGTCAGCTCGAACAGCTTCCCGTCCAGCAGCTCCAGCAGCGAGCGCAGGCTCTTGCGGAAGGCTTCCCTCTCCTGCTGGTTGCTCTGCAGACGCTGCTCCAGGTCGCTCAGCCGGGCCTCCAACGCCTGGTTCATCGACTCAGTGTCCTAAAAACAAATAAATAAAAAGAACGTGCCCGTCAGAATTTGGTGCATCAGACTAGCTGTTGTCATATGTTTTCATTTATGCAGAAGCCATGAGTGATTTGACTGAGTGCAACAGTCACGTGACAAATATTCTGTAAGACTTCGCCGAGAGCAGAGGCTGTAACGACGTCAATAGTTTAAAGTAGATAACACGTAGAACCTCCATTTTTATTATTCGTTACACTTTTGGACACAAATGTTGGATGTATAGATTCCATTGTTTTTACAACTTTTGTAAAAGAAATTATCAAAGAAATTCACCTTGTTTCAGCTGCTCATATTTAGACTGTCCAATATGTGGTGAACGCAGCATTAGCAGCAACATGCTAATGAGCTGCAGGTGCACCTGTAGTTCACTCACCTGTAGCTTCTGTGTCAGGGAGTCTTTTTGAGGATGAAACTCGTTGGCACTCTGCACCTCTTCTTTAAGACTCTCCAACTCCTGGAAGTAATACAAAAAGAGAAAGTACTTATTAAAGCTCAAATAAGACGTGTAGTACTCCTCAGTACACAAACTCGTACCTCCTCCTTGGCCCTCAGAGCCGACTCCAGCTCCTCTATCGTTTGGTTGAGTTCTGTCTTTTGGGATTTGATCACTGTGGTTTGGCCGCTCACGCACTCCAGCTCCGTCACCTGGAATACAAAATAAACCATCAACACATAGTCGAAGCTGACTCATCAATAAACGAGATCATTTTAATGACTGCAGCGATACCCGTTTGTGTAGCCGCTCCGCTTCCTCCTGATAGGCCCCCAGCTGTTGCTTCCACTGTTTGACGTTGGCCGTGGACTCGAGCAGAGCCGTCGTCAGCTTGGCGTTGTTCCCTTTAAGAGCCGCCAGCTCCGCCTCCCAGTGCTTATTGATGTTGGATGAACTGGGACGTGAAGAGGAGACCGTTAGAAGGGCTGCAGCTAATGTATATTTAAACCTGGAGCTTGTTTCCTCATGTGTTAGTGCAAACTGGTCCAGTAATGAGCGAGAGGGCTGCAATGTCATGTATTGGCACCAGCTGGCACCGTCATTAACTTCCACTTATAACAACAATCAGGGAAAAAAACAAGCACTTTTAGTGGACGTAGCGGCCGGTTACAGTCTTCTCCTTCAACACTGGAGCAGTTCTAAAAGGAGTCGTCCTCATTAGTCACTCGGACACAAAAAACATGGAAAATATAGTCCTGGTTGAAAAATACAGAAGTTTGCTTTTAACATTTGGCAGAACAAAGTGAAAAGCATTTAGAGAAGTTAAATTTCTACGTGGTTATAACTCGTTAAAGTTCTTCTGCTGCATTAATGTCACCCGAAGCACAGCGGACAAAACTATATCCACTCATTTAGTGCTTTATAATTAATGGGAAGCATGCGTAGTGTTTTAATGTAATGCTGTCCAGAGGCCCAGCGACCACATTAATAATACATGAACGAACGAATCGACACGAGCTGCAGCGCTCTGAGCCGCGCTGTGCCAATTTCATTTTAAATCAGCACTCCAGAGAGTCTCACATACACTCCCGAACGTGATCATGTCACCATCAGGATGCAAATGGAAAGAACAGGAAGTCACATGGAGAGATTCTCTTCTCCTCTCGGTTCTGTGCTAACCTGGCTTACCTGTGTGAGAAGGGCAGTGCATTCTGGGAAGGCTCTGCTCTGGGCTCGGCGTGCTGAGGTGTGGCCGGTGGGACTCTCTCATCATCTGTGCCGTTGATGCTCTCTGGGGTCATAGGTGACAGCAGATCACCTGGGGCCGACTCCTGGTTCCACACGTCGGTAAACAGAAACATATATATATATATATATATATATATATATTAGCAGAACATAAACACATGGAGATTTTGTTGAAGCATCAGTTCAACATTTTCGGGAAAACAGATCATTTGCTTTAATGCCGAGAGTTTAATGTCTGTATGATAAATATGAGGCTTGAGCCAGTCTTTATGCTAAGCTAAGCTAAACGGCTGCAGCTACATATTTATCACACAGACATGAGCCTCTCTGCAAAAAAGACAACCAAACATATTTCCTGAACGGCTGAACTGTTCCTCGTCAATTCGGACTATGAGACACAACGATAATCAATAAAGTGTGAATGATTCCGTGCTCTCAAAAATGAACAGGATTTTCCCGCTGAAATGTAGGGAGGGATGCTTGCAGCTTTTAGGACCTGAGCTGCTGGTTTAACGTGCACACATTTTAGACAAAATCTTTCTGAAGACAGAAAAGGAAAGTCTCCTTTTTCATTGATCTTGGTATAATTGTTGTCACAGCTGCTCAAACATCCCCGACTGTAGCTGACTGTCACTTTGTGAGAGCATGAAAGGAGAACTGGAGGGTTTTGTGGGATAAATTCACAGAGACGATGCTCCTCTGGTTGTTAGTCTGACATCGGGGTGATACACAAAGGATTTTAAAGACTGATGACGGAGGTTCTTCTGAAAAAACAATGGGCAGAAATCTAACATTGTGCTCACATTGAATGCTGCAGAGGGGAGTTTGGGGGGAGGGGGGTTGGTCATTTGAGTCGTGAAAATGATGCTTTCCATTTATTCTTTACCTTATTTTTACCAGGTTTGTTGACTGACAACACATTCCTTTTTACAGCGCCACCCTGAGGATGCTTTAGGGAGAGCAAAGGAGGTAAAACAAGCCACAGAGTCATGTTTAATGTGAGCAGAATGCTGAGTGGAACATGAAAGTATATGAACTGTATTAATTCCCCATCAATTTCTAATTTGGCTTCGGTGTCACATGGGGCTCATTGCCAACATTAACGTATTAATATTGAATTAACACTGATTCTGAATGGAAGACGTACTCCACTGTGAAACATATTAAACCAGAATGAAACCAGGAAATGTTTAAGAAGGAAACTGCCTCGTTAGCTCAGAATTAGCTGTTAGCATCTAGCGATCTGGTCAGAGCCCTGGATTTAAAGTGGTGGACAGTTTTGCAGGAGGAAACATCTCGTTTGAGGGCGCACGTGAGCTTTATGCTGCTGCACTAATAAAAAGACATCTGGCTCCAGATGTGTAAATGCAATGCCTGGTATGTTTTGATGGTTAACAGCAGGAGGTTCATACAGACTGACGATATAACATCCAGTATGGCGAGGCTTTGATGCTGTTAAACTGTGCCGCATTGAACTCTGTGTAAAGACAAAAAGGTTCTTCTCCTCAGATTTATAAAGAACCGCGTTTATATGATTCGGATTTATGAATCTTGCAGCTATTTTTCTCTCCAGATTTCTACGAATTGAGTCTGTATGGTTCCTTCCTTTTTAAAATATATTTTAGTTTAGTGCTTCTTTTTAAATACTTTTTTCTATTTTATAGTTTTATTCTATACTAATTTCAATGTTTGAATACAGCTGCGTTTCACTGATGTTGTGATGTTGTGAGTCACCTGAGAGGGAGAGCTGCTGAGCTCCATCTTCTCCTGAGACTTCTCCTTCGCTAGCCGCGCCGCCTCCTTGAACTCGGCAAACTTCTCTGCAAACTAGAAATAACAGCAGCAATTAATACAACTCAACCACAACAACTTCCATGTTTTCTGAGAGAGAGCATGCACACTTTTGCTATTAATGCTCTCACCTTGGCCAGGCTGCTCTCCGACGAGAAGCCGAGGCCGTAGACGGTGTTCGCCCGGCTGTCGGCCCATTGGCCGAACTTCTGCGACGTCTTGGTGAACGTCATGTTGGGGGTGATGGTGCTGTTGATGATGGCCTGTTGAGGACAAGACAAGTTAATACAGTTTGTTAAAGCCTCGTGGATTCAGGAAACAGACGTAATGGAGGGTTTGACGACAGCAGCTGGATGTCTTGATTATACGGAGAAGCGGTGGTAATACAAGTGTGTGTGTGTGTGTGTGTCGTGTAAAGACGTGGGTTTGATTTCCCACTGTTTGGTTAAACAGGAAGCAGCGAATGAGGAGTTCTGAAGTGAGTCGACCCGACTGTCGTGTTCTCGATCAGAGTGGGAGGACTCGCTGGCAGAGAGGCGAGCACAGAGGATGAAGAGAAAGATTTCAAATGTACCATTAAGATGTCTTTATTCTTCACAAAAGAGACGTAAACTCAAGGTTCACTTACTCGCTTCATTGAAGCTTTTGACTGAATCACACACGTTCGAGCTCCTCGTTTCACTCTGGAGGAAACAACTAAAAAAAGGTGGGTTGAAAGCTCCAGAACAAGCCAGTAAGTGGACCTTGAATCCATTCTCACCTTGCTGCAGTGACGTACAGGTGTACTCCGGGACGCAGTGACATCACTGCTGCGTGTGGCCTAAAACACTGCTTTTCAGCCTAATGTTGAGTTACTAAGATTTGTAAATAGCAGAATGGAAAGAAACGCGTGAAGAAATAAGGACAAAATCTGCTTGAAAATGTGGTCGTATGTGTAGACTGACTGAAAACTGTCAAAACTGTTACCAAAGAAGTGAGCTTGTAAATTTAAATTTATACAGAAACACTTCATATTTGTTAAATATATATATGTAACGACGTGATTAAAAAAGAAAGGGTCACAAGATAAATTTGAGGTGAAGAGTGAAGCAAGACAATTAATATAAGAAAGCATAAATACACAGAGTCAATATGTGTTCTTTTTTAGACTTTCCTCTTTCTTTTTTGTCTTGGAAAATCACTTTTACTTCTTTGGAAAAAACATATTCTGGTAAAACAGGACAACCAAACCCACGTGCGATCAATGACGGGGATTTTCACGAGCAGGTGTTGTTTTGGTTTTCTTGGGTTTTGTAAATCCACCGGCCGTTTCATTTCAGAAGTTCAAAACAAAAGTTTTCTCCCTTCTAGAAGTTTTTTTTAAACAATCTGTCTCGCTTGTTTTCTTCTTCTCTGCTGAAAAGACTTTTTTTTGTCTTTGACTTGTTTGTCTGGATAATAACGTCCTCCAGCTCCAACCCACCCGATCTCTGGTATTTCCAGCAGAACTTGCTGGTTCAACAACAGCAGTAGTCACCCAGAGAGGCTCTTGCATAACTCTGCTAACTCCACCCCTGCACCTCTCTCAAGACTAAAATAATCACTGCCACATAGATACGACTGCTTCAGCCCAGAGAGGCCGCGTCGAGGCAAACAAGTCAGACGAGCTGAGCAGAGGTGGGATGTTATGGACAAAATCTAATGTAGTGTTGGCACCAGGCAACACCTCTCAACACACAAGCTGAGTGGTATATACACACACACACACACACACACACACACACCTTAGATCCATCCAGGCTGATGATTCGATAGACATTCCTGGTGTTGTCGTAGAAGTAGGAGACAGTGACGGCATGTTTACTGGTGGGAACCCAGTTCTTCTTGGTGCTTGGGTCGATCTGGAAGACGTGGGCCCGGGTACTGAAGATGGGCTGCTCTCTGTGTGCGCAGACAGAGGGGGGGGTTGTTAGTCAGTAGCTAGGCCTCAACTCTGTGGTTAAGCAGGAGCAACAAGCTTTGGTTACACCAACATAGATAGAACAACAAACATTTTATGCCACATCGACAACTCAAAGCACTGTGTTCCAGCAGACACAGATTGGTGCTGAAAGACAAACTACAGCCATGCTAACGGCTCAGGAAGGAGAACATGAATGTATGAACCAAAGGGCTCTTCCTGGAGCCGCATCGCTAACGTGGCTAAAAGACACAAATGTAAACTTGTGAATAAAGCTCCACGTGAAAGATCTAAACATGGCTCTGCTAAAGGAAAGAGAAACGTGATGAATCAGAGGAAGGTGAGAGAAACAACTTCCCAGATCCCATCACATCCATAATTCACCAGCCTGCTGTGTTGCTGCCGCAAAGAAACGCACCCATCAGGCCGTCACGCTGAAGTGTGTTTATGTACAAACGTACACACGAGGACAGATCGTACACAAACTCTATTCGCTATATATCTGCAAAAAAAGAAAGACTCGGGAGGAGAAATGAAATAAAGGATGTCTCGAGCAAAAAAAGAAAAAATCCAAATATTAAAATGTGCTTCATGATGTAGATTTTCAGCAATGTTCCAAAACACAAATAAATTGTTATAATTCCACGATCGCTCCGCTACTTGGAGTTAATGAAGCTTTGCAGCCGGCGGGTAATGAAGTCATTAAAAAATGATTTATGCTCAAAATAAAGCCTCACGGAAGCCGGACAAAATAATGTCACACAAAACAATCATAATGCTGTGATTTAGACGACCTAAATGATATTTAGTCTGCTAGAACTCTGCTGCAGAAATGTGTCAGAAGATCAGAGGCAGGTTTATTCCTATATAGGTTTTTTGCTTCGGTATTAAGGTGCATAACAGTCACAAAAAAGAGCCTTTTCTAGCAAGGTTTTATAATTTCTGATAGTTTTCAATAAGCTCATTTTAAACAGTTTGGCAGCACCTCGTGGTGGTTCTTGCTGCTAATCCAAGAGCACAGCGTCACCTGACCTCCATCTCAGGAAGCTCTTATTGGAGGCAGGTGTGCTGACATTAGTGGGAGACGCCACTAGAATCACCTCGTCTTCAACCGCCCCGTGTTTTGGGTATTTTGACGGGTTTAAAGATTTAAACTTTTTGTAAAGGCTAGTATATTTTGTTCATGGCGCTACTGTGAGCTAAATCAGTTTAGCCGAACCCAGCAACTCGAATGCACCACCGCAACCATCAATGATCATAAACCAGTGACTAACCACCCAAAGGACAGTCACGTGTAATGTTATGGCGTCTGTTGGCCACCCATTTTGTTTAAAAGCTGCAATAGTAAGAGAAAATATAAAAACAAGCACCGCAAAAGTCAAGATTCATGATTATCAAATAGGAATTTTGAATGACTTGAACTGACTCCTGCATAGAACCGGAGAGATTGGCTCCTAAATGGAACATGTTACTGTTGCTATCTGTTGCATGGCACATTTACAATGAAGACAGATTGCCATCTAAATGTATTGTAATTATTAAAACAATGGGTTCTGTATTCCAACACACGGGGGTAGATACAATCTGTTTTCTCATTTTGAGTCGGTGAACTTGAGATTTTCCGGCTAATTTGTCAGACTTTATCTGTAGCCAAGGAACCGAGCTAATGTTCGCTCCATGTTGGTGTAAAACGCTGTCGCTGTTGTGTTTATGTGGGTAAATATGTTCTCTTTGGTTTTGTGTTTAGGATTGTTGGTCTTTGTTTTTAAGTATCTTGTTTTTATTTGCACTCTATATATTTGGACTCTTTCATACTTTGTACTGAAACTGCTGCAAAATAAAGTTCTATCTTATCAATCGGTGATGAAGCAGCTTATGCAGCTGACCGTGGTTCAAATCCGAGACGATTTAGTTTCATATTTGTCACATTTACAGACTTCCAGTTAATTCAATGTAAACAGCATTGAATTGGAAATCAGTTGAAAGACGTCCGCCTGTATTTCAGGAAACAGACGCATACAGTAATATCTGACTGCTGTTTTACCAGCTAATGGCTTAGTTTAGTGTTAATACAACTTTAATTTTGCATATATTTGTTATCTGTCATTTTTTTCCCTTCCTGCTACAAGGAACATAAAAGATAAATGTGTTGAAGCTAAAAGGGCGAGAGCAGGACGTGGATTCAGCCAACTGAAAATAAACTTTAATCTAATTTGAAAATACTTTGTATTCTCGTGTAGAGTTAGTAAAGACAAAATACTGCTTTAGATTTGTTTTTAAAATGTCAAAGTCTCAATTACTCGTTGTTTTAAAGATTTGCCACCATGGCCACGTTCTAGCAGGTCATTTTATATTTCATTCATTAGTCTGACAGCGTGGCCCAGATCAAAATCTGCCCCCGTGGTGTGTGTGTGTGTGTGTGTGTGTGTGTGTGTGTGTGTGTGTGTGTGTGTGTGTGTGTGTGTGTGTGTGTGTCGGTCGATTGTTAGCCCATAATCCCTTTCCACAATGAACCGTACTGAGGCGTTCAGGTCTCAATGACGAGTGCTTTGACAGAGGAATCTGACCGCAGATGTTATCACATCAGCATTTCTCCACCTCCATCCAGCAGCACACAGAAGACACACACACACAATGTTTGCATACCGGAGGAAAACAAAGACGCGCAGTGTTTCTGTGTCTAAATCAGTGAATGTGTTCAGATTATCTCCAACTACATACAGCGAGTTCTTTATCAGGACTGTTGCAAATCAGTCACTCAGGACATGAAGTCGTGTTGAAGCCACAGTTTGATTCAAGGGATTAGTCACATTATCCCAATTTACTATAAATGTTCCCTCCCAATCCTCACATTTGAGATGTTTCAGTGCTAATTTTAACATTAATCTGTCTGTGACGTGGCTCACACAGGCACACATGGAATATTATGCTCTTATTGATGAATCAGTTAATTTTCTTCATTAACAGATTCATCGTTTGGTCCATAAAATGTCTGAAAAGAAAGTAAAAACGGCCCATCGCAGTCCAAACTGACATGTTGTTTTTTCTGTTTTAGAGTCCAAATTCTAAAGATAAATAGTCATAAAAATACCAAGAAAACCAGAAAAATGTTCACAATTCAGTGTCTCTCTCACTCACTCTCTCACACACACACACACACACACACACACACACACACACACACACACACACACACACACACAACTATGCTCTCTCGCCCACTCCGATCCCAGCGTCCTCGTCTGGTTAAGAGGCAGCAGGGGCTTGGCAGGGCAACACATCCTGTTAAAAATAAAATTCCACCCATATGTTGTTTACCGGGGCTCACAGCCTTTTAGTGGCAGATGTGTGTGTGTGTGTGTGTGTGTGTGTAACAAGTCAAAGGAAAGGTTACAGATTGTCTGTTTCCTTTTCAAATAACTTCTCCTCCATGGAAGATATAATAAGACCAATAAAGGAAGTAAAAGTAAAAGGAAAACAAAACCTAACTAAATTTGGCATAACGCTACATAATCACGCTACGCTGGCTGAGAAGAACTTTAAATTATTGCTATAAATAATGAATTAATTATCAATTAATTTACACTTCATTTTCTCTGTTGATCTATTAGTTATTCGCTCTGTGAAAAGCAAATAGCAACAAAAAGCCCATCCCAATGTTAAAGTGTTTTGTCCGACCTGTAGTCAAAAATCCAAATATATTCAGTGCAATCACAGAAGATGATAAAAAAAATAGGAAATATTCACATTTGAGAAGCTGGATTCAGAGAGCGTTCGCCATTTTTGATTCATGATTGTGGACTTTCATTTGTAATGAGTAAAGTAAGAGTAAAGGGGCCTCAAGACGCTAACAATTCAATATTAATGTCTCTTGTTCAGACTGCAGGTCATTCCTCCTCTCTCTCGTCTCATTTCACCTCTCTACTGTCGCTTTAAAATAAAGGCAATAAAAAGCTGGTTTGGGAGAGAAAGGTATGTAAACAATGAACATCTGCAAAGCCATGCACTGAATTACACCACAAACAAACACACACACTTAACTATCTGCTGTCTGAGTAAAGCATCCAGAGCTACAGTAAGTCCTGTTGCTTCTATGGTCTGTGCAGAACAGGTGTCAGTATAAGACTTTAATAAAGCGACGTGTTGTCTCACTATTCACCCATATGTTCCCAGTGGAGACATGCTGCTGGCAGGTTCAACTTGAGCTTGTTTACAATCCTTCTTCGAGAACAGAAGCTCCAGTACGTGCTGGAGCGGCTCAGGCTGGCTCGCTTGCTTGTTATGGGGGTAACTGCACACACACACTCCTTCTGTGTCTGAGGAATTGATTGTTGGGGTGGATTATGACCATTGGCCTTGAGAATTACAGAGGATGTTCTCACCCCTAACCCCACCCCCACCCCTACCACAATATGACACCAAACCAATCACATGCTACATCATCTGCTTTCATCGGGAACAAGAACTAGGTCGCTCTTGATCAGGAGAATCCCCATACATCTGCAGGTTCAGCCGCATGCATTAGAGCCAAGTGCAAGGGGACGTCATTATTGTCTGGTGGGGAAATTAAATAGCTTTGGTTTCCCTTTGGCAGCAAATAAATGTATTACACACCCTTTAAACTAAATGTCCTTATGGAACAAACAGGAACAACTGTAATGTCTTGCAGTCTTTTAATCACTAAAAGAAGCAACCGCCTCTGATACTTTCCCCAACAGTAGCCTGCTTCATTGCAGCCTAATCTTTTGGCTTCACTAATCTAAAATGTCAGTGTATGGAGGCTGTGAGTAGACATACTGCTGGACAGCTACTTCTACCAGGAGTGTGTGTGTGTGTGTGTGTGTGTGTGTGTGTGTGTGTGTGTGTGTGAGATATCTTAGGGCAGTTTGCTGCAGGGACAAGCATTTTTCTTTCTTTTACATTTGACATGACAGGAGTACTTCATACAGTTAGCCATGGGTGGCTAAGCTACCAGTCGTTCCAGCTTTTGGTGCCCTGCTGAAAAGGGGGGCTGCTCTGATCTACAAAAACAAAGTCAGTCACACCCATGACATGGAGAGTGAGAACTGCAGCTTGACATACCCCATTTTTGCAGAATTTTTGGTGGCTTTAGTTGAGTCGAAAATGATCCTCTCGGGGGTCTCTTGAGGGCGGTGTGAGCAGGCTGCAGGCTGCCTTCAGCTTTTGATCCTCTCTCTCTCTGTCTCTAAAGCCGCTCTGCTTGTTGTGGCTTCACGGCCGGCGGAGCCACGGTTCGGTTCTCAGTCCGGACATGGAGCTCGGCGGCGGTGTTGTCGTTGGTATTACGCCCTTGGGTGCATTTTTGTTTGGTGATTTCACCGAAGCAAACGTGTCTGTGCATGCATGATGCAGGAAGGAAGAAAAGCTAACTCGTAGTTGCCGCCGTTAGCTCAATAAAACTCCTTACAAACGGGGATTAACGTTGTAGAGCTGGGAAATCGGACGAACTGGTACGCGTAGAGATGGTTATCCTCAGCCGGAAAAATACACCATACCCCGACTGTTCAATAATCCCCCTTTCAGTCGCTGGCTCTTTCTTGCAGTCCGCTGTGCCATTAAATTAAATTCCCTCCACCAAGTCTGGTATTAGAGAGTTCTTTAACGCCTCTTTGCGATGGTGGACGTCTTCCTTCAAGAGAGGGCTTCATCTCCGGTGTTTCTGGAGAAAAGACAGAAAACACTCGCTGCATACTCCACGATTTAACATCACCATCCTCCCGAGAAAACGCTCCGCTTCACCGACGTCAACCGAGATATAGGACAGAATGTATGTGCACTCATAAACCAGCTGATTTAATTCACTATCTGATTTTTCGCTTGATTGTTCACGCAATTCAAGCCAAGCGTTAGACTAGGATTTAATGTATGATCCCGATGCTCCATCGACCGGTTCATCCTCTCACCATCCCGCCTGTCTGGTCTCTATCAGCCCGCATCTCATTCATTTAACGTCCTCCTCTCTGCTGCTCTGTGGGGAGCATTAAACTAACGTCATTACGTCATCTCTGGAAAGGAAAACATCCGGCGTGTCTGCAGGGAATGGAAATCAAATGAGGGTCATACCTCAACATTGTACCAGTACAGTACTTAATGTATCAAACAATAATCTAAATACTAATTTTAAGCAAAATAAACCAAAAAAGGTTGAACAGAATCTGGTCCTGTTTACAAATATTCCTTTTTTCCCTGGTAATGAATATTAGGGCTGCACTTTATCATTATTTTTGTTATAGATTCATCTTATTTGGCCTATAAAAGATGAGATAACAGTGACAAATACCACCATCCCAATATCCTAGAGCCCAAGGATACATCATCAAATATATTTGTTTTGTCCAAATAACAATACAAACCCGATAATATTCAATTTACTATGTCAGACAGTTATAGAGTGTATATACAGTTGCCAGTGACACAGAAACACATGATCTGCTACTGATGATTGCCATCTTGTGGACAGTTGTGTCATTGAAGTGCACAGATTCTTAATCTTTCCAATTTTATTGTGACAAAGACATTTTCTGGCACAAGTTATCGATTAATTGGTTAATTGATAATTAAACCACTTGTTAGTGGCAGCCCTAAGATACACGTCCTTATAGTAAATCTGGTGATTGAAGTAGTAAAGTGACAATCTGCAGATGATAATAGGTGCTTAACTCTAATGTAAATGAATTAGTTACTGTTAGCTGCTAGTTGAATGTAATCTGTAGTAAATGAGCTGAATATACTAAAACATTTGTAGAAGAAAGTGCATGTTCAACACCAGTATATTTTTAGCCTTTATGATTGACTGACGGTGTGCCAGACCAGTTTACACATGAGGACAACTTTTGCCCGGATACAACCGGTTGACTTTAAGTAAAACCCTCCCCAGCTCCTCCAGTCTTTCATTTTCACATGTAGTGTCCCCGTCACACTGCGAGACAGACACCAACAGGTGCGAGATTGACACTTTCGTAGTGTGGAGTCACATAAAGCTGATTTTTAAATACAAAACGCTGAAGATAAACACAGTATATTAGCCCATAAATGTGTGTTATTAGAATAAAGGGGTTATAAACGTGCTATTTATCCATTTTGTTCTCCTCACTAGTTCACTGTCAAAGCCTAATATGTGATTTATTGGATCCCGTATAACTAAGAAAACAAACTAAACACGTAACTGCTTCTGACAGACTTAACAGACGTGACATTGGATATAAGCTACCGGCAAAACATTATATTTAGACCTGTCTAAAGAAACCAAACCAGAAGCATTCTACATGCTGATGCATGTTTGTACAGTTCTAATTCATCACAAGCTACAACTAATTAACCCAGATTAACCTATTTATTGTATATGCCAAACGCAAGGGCTCAGCCGGTGTGAACAGATGACAAATTAACCTCCCTGCATGCTGGGAATGCTTCAGATGAAACACTGGAGGACCAGTTTTCTATTTCAAGATTACGCTGAGCACGAAGACTTGGCTGGAGAACACCCGGCCTCGAATGTGATCAACAGAGCAGCGCTGAGTTGTGGTGAGAGGTCGAGAGCAGATTAATCGAGACATTACAACAATGGACACGCTGACAGAAGATGTGTCGCGGGCGGATGTGGACTCTGAGATGAGAGCGATGACACCTGAAGATGTCGCCGGACAAGACCTGGAGGCTGGAGATGAAGTGGAGACCCTTAGAAACAGGTAGAGATCAGTACTTCTTAATATTAAAAGTGGTCTGTGTCACTTTGAACAAATCCCATATTTGCTCAGAGGCAACAGTTGATTTTACAGAAATAAACTGGATTCATTCCCGTATGAATTATATTTCATTAGTGCCACTGACCTGAGTGTTTGAGTGCATACATATACAGTTGCCAGTTTATTTATTATTATTTTATTATATTATGTATTTATTTTTGCATTAGTCTGCATTCATTTTAGCCAGGTGTCAGGTACACCTATAGCTCAAATAAATGCAGACTATATGAATAAATCCTCCCTTAATGAAGGTTATGATGTTTTTATTTTTAGAGACATGTTGATTTAACTTTATGATCATTTTGGAGGTGGTTCTGTTGAATTGTGTTGTATTATACAGAACAATCAGTCAGTAAAATCTAATACAGCTCAACAGCACCTCCAAAATGATCCTTAAGATGAATCAACACCTCTCTAAAATAGTTATGCAAGACTGTTATTCGACTGCATTAGTTTTAGTTCGGTGTACCGAATACAACTGGCAACTTGCGCTTGTATGCTGAGTGTGTGAAAGACTGTGAATGTGAGAAGAACATCCTCTATTCAACAACATTTTATTCATACAGCCCAATATCACAAATGTGCCTCAGGGGGCTTAACAATCTGTCCTCTGTTCTGAAATCAAACTGCCACCTGATAACTCAGCATGCTAATCATCACAAGGTTATCAAAAATAATTAATTTCTAATGTAAATATATTATTTAATCCGGTTGACTGAAAAGCTTGAAAACATATATTTTAATCTGTTAGCTGATGATTTAACCAGAGTGACCTTAAATTTCAATACACATGAAGAAAAAACAGCTCTGCTTATCTCACTGTGTTGTTTCCCTGCCTTCAGTCTACGCGAGGCCGTCCACGACGACAACGTCCGACCCAAGATGCAATGCCTGATGATGGACTCCTCCTTCTCCATGGTTACTATGCAGGGCGAGGACAGCGGGATCGCGTGGGATACGACCCCCATCCGCTGCGCCACGCCGTGGGGGTCCGAAGCTGGAAACTCCACCGTGGATCTCAGCCTCGCCACACCCGGGCCAGCGGGGAAGATCATCTTTGTCATGGACGAGGAGCTGATTTCAAGACGGAAGAATACTAAAGAGAGGGTCAATCAGAAGAGCAGATCGGAAAGACAACGAGTAGTCCTCGGGGAAAGTTCTGAGAACGTCTCGGGAAGGCCGGAGTTGGTAGAAGTCTCGCAGCCGAATGTGAAACCTGAGGAAGGAGACGAAGAGGAAGCGCACGATCATCCCCAGGATAAAGAGCAGCGGCTCTTCAGCTTAGTCTCCGAGGGCTCTGAAATCCTCAACATCGTTGTTCCTCCAAAACTGGTGACTGTGGATGAAGAGGAGAGCAAAGACATGGTGGACAACCTTTCTTATCTGGAGGAGAGCCTGGTTCCTAAAGCCTGGGAGGAGACTCACGATAACGAGCTGGTGTTCACAGGATCAGGTGCAGCGAGAGGGGATCGGGTCGAGCCCTCGTCTTCCATAAACGTAATGGATCCACCGGGCGCTCCGGTGACCAGGCCTGCGGGCAGAGGAGCTGCTGGCAACGCGGACTACTTCGAGGCGTTCGCCCTGATTGACGCCCAGGCTCCGGGAAGTCCTGCTGTGACCTCACAGGGACAGGTAGAGCAAGAGGCGGAGGTTGTCCCCGAGAACCAGGACACAGAGAACCGTGATCAGTCTGAAGATGACAACACCGCCGCAACAACAACAACTGTGGATAATGACACAATGAGTCTGGTGGAAATCACTAGCGAGCTTCTGGATGAAGTGTTCTATGGCAGTACGGGCAGCTACGTCATGAAACCTCTGGACAAAGACGATGGACGTGGCGTGCCCTCCAGGTTCCCTTCAAAACCCAGCGGTTCCGCTTTGTTTGGAAGCCAAGAGGACGTCCTGACTCCGATCTTCCTACCGGATGGACCTCCCAAAATTATCGACCAAATTTTGCTGGAGGAGCCCAAAGCCATGGCTTTCCTTTACACCGACCTGTACGAGGAGGCAGTGGGCAGTCGGAAAATAGAAGAGGATGCAGAAAGTGTGACGTCCGAGAAGTCCTTCCACAGCAGGCAGTCGGACCGGGAGGCCCGGGGATATTTAGAGAAATTCGTCCTCATAGATGAGACTCCTACGCTGGAGGTAGAGCCGTCTGACGAAGACATATCCCCAGAGGAAGGTCCTCGGGTGTTGGTCCAAGATTTGTACGATTTTAGCGATTTGCTTTCCACGCCTGAAGAAGACGAGATGCCGAATTCCGAGGAGGAAATCACAGACTTCTTCAGGTCCAGTGACAACTCTTCTCCATTGGATGTAGATCCTTTCCCTCGATCTCTCGAAGAGGATGAACCCCAAACAACCAGAAAAACTAAAGCCAACACAAACAAAAACGTCTCCGTCAAGGTAGAAAACAAAATCCCAGTGGACCCACTTAACGTCTCAAGCTTCGAGTTTGTCTCGGAGGAACCCGACTGGGGAAGCACAGACGATCATCCTGCAGCTCTGGACGAGAAAGACGTCAGGACGGATCAGGAATTGTGGAAGCAAGATTCGGGAGCCCAGAGGCCAGTTGCCCCTCCCAGGAGAAAGGCCACATCCTCTCCTAAGGCATGTCTGGACCTCACACCTTTGACTCCGGTTGACGGTATTAGGCCTATGCAGGAAAAGGAAGAGAAGGAAGAGGCTGGTGGAAAGGAGCATAGGGTGGAGGAGAAAGAGATGGCGTCGCCAGCTGAGACGGCGTCACCAGCTGAGACGGCATCACCAGCGGAGACGGCCGACGAGGGAGACGGAGAGGAAACAACGCAGCCCATCTCCAACGCTGCTCTGCTTCAAAACGCCTTGGCTGCAATGGAGTCCCCACAAACTGAAAGTGCAGAAGCTGTCAGAGACACTGAAATGTTTGAGGAAATGGAAACAAGTGAGAGCGAAGCGGCCACGAAACAAACTGAACCAGAAGAAGTACACGTTAAGTTACCAGAATTGGCTAAAACAGAGGTTCATCCAGAGAAACAAGGCGATAGTTCAGCTGAACCGGCTAAAGACAAAGGACAGTGTGTAATACTTTAGGTGAGCTGAAGGGTTTTCAACAGGTTTATTGTCAAGCGACTTGCTGATGTGTCATTATTTAAGGTCTTAAAATCACAGTAGAATTAGCCGACAATCAACCGAGGGAAATTCTTTGAACTTCATATCTTAAAAGCGCCAAATAGTTTTTACAATTTTCACCCATTTGCACCTGGCTGTACTCATACTTCATGAAGTTAAAAATCTAAATCTTACTTAAAACAGTTACATTGATCAAATATCCAGGAGGATATACAGTGTGTGTATGTATATATATATATATATATATATATATATATGCTGTGAACGGGTGGTGCATGAATCATAGCGTGTTTGAAGGGAGAAGTTTGGGTCACGAGTGTGAATAAAAACATGTGAGAGTGCAATGTGTCGGTGTGACTTTTGTGCGGATCTTCAGCTATAAATAAGCCTCTCTGGCTGTTAACCTGACACCTCGACTCATATAGGAGTCTGTGAACTCACTTGTAAACAGTCAAAAAAACAAAAACATGTGTAATACGTGCAAACATGTGTATATTCTTAAACTTAATGTTTTCCAAAACCGCCATAACAACAATTATTGCAAACTTGCAAAACTGCAGTACAAGATTATTATCTTTGTTTTGGTAGACCAAAGGTTGTGTTAAAAGGCTTTTGGGACCTATTTATCATCAGTTTAAATATGCTCTGGCGACATCCAGTGTTACAAATGAGCATTTCCCCATTTTATTACTTTTTAAATCGCCTTTTCTTTCCTCCACATCGACAGGTGGCAGCTGTGAGTTGACAGTTTAGCATTGCGGTCATAGAATTACTGTAGATAGAAGTGATATCCTAATTCACATAGCTAATACACCATAATCTATGTAATAAACACATATTTTTTTAAATGAAGGTGTTAACATAATAAGTTTAACTTAAATAAGACAATTCCCAGCTTTTGGATTTTTTTAATGTGTGCCCGATTTTAAAGCTAACTTGACATTTACAGCTAAGCTAAGCTAGCACGGCTAACATAGCTCTAGCTGTGAATGTAGTGTTAGCTGCTACTTTAGCTTTGCTAAAATAATTGTCTGGGGGTGATTATAGTAAGCTTTTTCGACATACAGATAATATAATTAAAACATAAATGAGTCATAAGAAACCACTCAAGCCGTGTTAAGAAAATTACGTTTTATTGAATTAACTAACTGGTTTAACCGGTTCACGGTTTTTCTAGTTAGTGTATTTCTATGCTACAAGTCTCTTCCTCGGCGTTGTGTTATGAGTACTTGGATCAGTTAGCTTTATGCTAACTCCGCAATGGACCATGTCCCTGGCTTTTGCCCGTCAGTGTCTTCTGAAGAAAACGGACCAGCCACCGACGAGAGCTCGTCGACGGACGATGGACTTTGCGACGCGTTTGGCGACCTGGCTGCCCTCCCGGTCGAGGTCGGCGAGAGAAGACCGACGTGTTTACGGTGCCGGTGAGCTGAATTCAAGTGAAAGCTAATGCTAGCTAGCTAACAAGTTAGTGTGGTTGGACCAGACAGGCAAGAAAGAAATCCTTCTCCACAAGTAACTAGCATGCTTTAAGTAAAAGGGCAATCTCAGCTTCACGTCTTCAACTTTCCTCCCATGTAGTCGCCCTCAGAAGGTGTGTCTCTGTCCGTTTCTACCACCACAACCCCTGGAGGTGTCCACATGTCTGTACGTAGTGCAGCATCCTGCAGAGGTGAGTTATCACATGTCAAATATGACATGCATGCTCAAAACTAGAGACTAATGACAAATCTGTTTTAAGTCAATAGCCAGGTGCACCTTTCTCTGATCATTATTCCTGTTCATACTGGGTATTGAGAGATCCATTACCTATAATTCAGATGTGTTATTGTGCATACAGAGCTATACCACTTCTCATACATATATGGTCCTTACAGTTGTTTATATTTTGGGAATTTTGTATATTTTTTAATTTACACCCTGTTGATATTTCTTATGCATGCACCCTTCCTTTTTTATTCTATTGTTAGATTTATGAAAGGCACTAAAACATCTTTATTATCAAGAGTTATTTGCAAGGTTGATATGAATCTATTTAAATAATCTGCATTCACTTGTTTTTTTTGTGTTTATTTGCCAAATGCCAAACTTTGTGTGTCCCACACTTTTACCCAAACCAGTCAAGTAAAATGCAAACAGGCCAGCTAGTTTTATTTATTAGAAGCTCATGATTATGATCCACCATTCTAACCTCTAGTGTACTTTCAGGAGAGCAGAGTTCTTCGCACAGTGCCGCTACTTGCTGCTTGTTTGCCACAAGGAAAATGCAATGTCATAGTGGGAAGGAGGTTCAATGAGGAAAAGTAAGCTGTACTTCTAGTGAGCGCACTGATTTTACAACACCACTCTCACAGATTTCTCTAATTAGTTTTTGACTTCCGTCCTTTTTCCTCTCAGGCACCCAGAGCTGGCAGCGGTGTGTCGGGACAGCAGGACGCTGATCCTGTACCCGGGTCCCAAATCCCAGAACCTGGAGGAGTTGGTGCAATACCAGGAAGTAGGAGCGGTGAAACATAATGTGATCATCATAGACGGCACCTGGAGCCAGGCCAAAAACATGTTCCTCAAAAACAGCCTCTTCCACCTGCCTAAACAGGTGTGTGTATAGCTGTGATGTCACTTCAAAGAGGTTTAATTTCATTCAAATTATGAGTATTATAACTTAATATTTAAAAGCCATTGCCGATTATATGTCAGCAAAGAGAGAAGGCCGCACTTACATTACTAATCACCTCTGCTTTTGGTTCCCCAGGTGCAGCTCAACAGGAATCTTTCCAGTCAGTACGTGATCCGTACACAACCCTCCAACATCTGTCTGTCCACGCTAGAATGCGCTGCTGTCGCCCTGTCCATCCTGGAGCACAACGACGACATCCAAGAGGTGACGTGGTGACATCATTGTGTCAAGTCTTCTGCACTTTGTGAACTTGTTAACAAACAATTGCTCAAATACACGGAGCAATACAAGCATTCATTTTAAGTCAGTATGTGTCCACCTGATGAGTGCAAGTCCAATATTCACTCTCGTTTTCACTCTGTTTTGGTCTCTGCCAACTCCTGAGAAACATATCTGGCTTTTGAGCTGCTAAATGCTCCACTGTGTTCAGCAGCTAATTGCTAACTTTGAAAACGGTGTCTGGACGTCTGATGAGAGACTGAAACCAAAACAGTAAAGTCGAGCTTTAAAATTACAGATACAAAGTGTGAAATCACTAAAGCCATATTACTAAATATATACAGTACATAGATGTTTTTTTCCTGAGTTCACTGACTGAAACAACGGTTGCAATGTAAAATAAATAAATGTATCTCTACCACTCTTCCCTTCCTCCTTCCTCTGTGTGTCCAGGTTCTGCTGAGGCCCCTGAAAGCCTTGTGCTCCTTCCAGCTGCAGCACGGCGCTCAGGTTCATCACAGCAAGGAGCATCTCCTGAAGAACGGCATGTACGACAAACCCATGCCCAAGAACAAGCGCAAGATCAAGAGGATGGAGAAGCTGGTCACCGACCACAACGTCTGCCCAAGATGAGGGAGCGACTGAGCGGAGAAGCTCGATCATCTCTGTGCGTCTTTTACTTTTCTACGCTGCACAGGACTGTTCTCATTGGAGCAGCATGTGACGGCATCAGGGCACACACACGGGAAACCACTGGACTTTTTTGGTTTTTTGGGGGGTTTTATTTTATAGATAATTGCTGGTAAATGTAATTTATGGATTTGTCCTTGATTTAAAAATAATTAACGAAGTTTAAGTTGTAGTTTAAATGTCATGGTGTGACAATAAATCAGTTTTCGTTGTTTTAAAAACAAATTACATTTTATAAACCCTATGATGGATCTGTTTGGATTGATTTTACACATCTGGATGGGCTAATGTTTTTAACAAAATCTATTCAGATGTGTAACAAAATAAAAATGACTCTAAAGCTTGTGATACTCCAAGAACCTACCACACCAACACATTACAGCAGGAAGAAAAGGGAGAATAGTACTATTGGGGATGATGTGAGCTCTTTCCAATATACAGTGAGGTAATATTTAGCTGTAAGGTTTTTAAGATATTTTACAAGGATTTTTAAAAATTAGATATCACACAGAAGGAGTTAAAGTAAATCCGATGGGACACGGTCTTGTATAATATAATTATGCAATAAAATGTACATGTTCTAATCTTATTTTAGGTCTCAAAGTGTCAATTTTGCCATTTGGGTTTGCCTGTGCGCTTAGTACCACTTTTCGACTTGTTCATGTTTACGGATCAATATATAGATTGAATTATTAAGATTTAAACAAGTTACCTCCTGTAAAGAATATTTAAACACAGTTTCAGCTTGCTATGCTGCTCTTTGAAAGAAGCTCTGGGACACATGAGGCAGCAAAGACTACATTTCAAACATTAAATGGTAAAGTGTGATTTTTCTTCCAAATATTATTTACAGAAATGTAGAAATAATTGCATGGATTGCTTTTCAGTGTATAGAAAACATGTATGCAGCAGTGAGCCCTCAAAGGGAGCCAAATCTGTACTGTATGTGCTTATATAATGATAAATATAATACTTTTACATGTATGAGTTACATTTATACAGCTGCAAAAATGCATGTTATTCTCGGGCATCTGGTTAAATGCATTTTAGGGGTAAAGGAAAGTCCCATGTTGGCACAATATGTACCATATACAGATTTTTTTTTTGTGTCTCCGTCTACAATATTCTTAATGAAGATTAAATGGTATGGTGACACATGGCACAGTGCAGAAGAAATAGAAAGAATGTTAAAATAAAGTACACACATTAAGAAAATAACAGTAGATAATTAACTGAATACATATAAGATAATAATGTAATAAAGTGCTGCTCATATGCTTTGTGTAAAACAGAAAAAAGGGCAAATATACAGAGAGAAATGGGAGTATTTTGTAACATGACTTGATGTTGCCTGTGGCTGAATCGCCACGCATGCGCGTTTCGCCTCGGCTCCTGGTCGCTCCGCCATCTTTGTCGGCTGCCCCCATTGTTCACTCAGCGGCGGGTTAAGCGGTTCACATACTGCGCAATAAAAACAACTTGACGGTGTTACAGGCAGCTGCCAAAGACAGTCGTGGACTTTCTCTCAGGGTTGCGACTTGTTCTCGGCCAGCAAGTTAAACAGAATGGACGATGACCAGCCTAAAACCCTGTAAGTGTGTGTGTGTGAGTCTGCGTTACCGCTAGCTACGTTAGCATTAAGATGCAGCGTATTATCCGGACTCCGGACCTAAAAACGGAGATATTTTGGACATTTAACTCTATTATTAATCCCACAATTGTATGAGGTGTTTAAGCTAATAACCTCAATGATAACTAAACACATCGTAGTGATCTAACATCTGGTAAATTCGCCTCAGTCGTGAATGCTAGCCAACGTTAACTAATTCCAGAAATTGCTCAAATTAACGCGTTGGTTCACGCTCAATTTTGATTTTAATTGAAATGAATAGAGCTGAATGTGTTTTAGTTTGTGCCGAATTCATTGGTGACCTGTACGGATTGGCCCCATGTGATAGAGACTGCTCTACACGGGTAGTGAGTGACGATGAGCAGGAGAAACCTGGACTGGTGTGTTTTCTCTACGGAGTCTGGTGAGCCGTCAGCTCCACAACGTTGTTGCGCTGGAAGCATCACTGCACAGGCCCAGGAACGAGTCATTAGAATGGATAGCTGTGTTACCAGTAACCACAGTGAGATAGTAACAAATGCAAACGCTGTTTATTTTGTCATGGAAAAGGTTTATTTTAATTAAGATGCACTTCAATCTATTTTAAAGGGCAGGGAGCAGATATTTTAATGGTGTTGGCTGTCTTTAGTTGCTCTCTTATGTTTGTTTTTATTAAATGCAGACTACATGTAATCATTTGCCAGAAACAGTCTTGAGACATTTGCAGTTTCTTGAATCTTAAAGGTGGATTTTAAATCTAATTACTGCCTGGTGCTGGTGTCTGTTTTTTATTGTGGGTGTGTGTGTGGTTTTGGCATTTACACACACGCCAGTTTAAATAATAATATTTCATGGTTTAAGTGCAGTACAAGATGTCACATTTCTACTTCACTAAACTGTCTGTCTCTTGTCCGTTGTAGGTATGTGGGGAATCTGTCCCGGGACGTGACAGAGGCCCTCATCCTGGAGTTGTTTGGCCAGATTGGACCCTGCAAGAGCTGTAAAATGATAGTAGATGTGAGTATCATCCCCCCCTCCTCCTCTCGTGCCTGAGAAGATGCTTGGATTACAACCGGCACCTTTGGCCGTACAATCCAAGGACAACTGTTGTATAACCTTTGAGAATTCATGAATCAATATTTAGCTCCCCAGCCTTGGGATCTGGTTTAGTTTTCTGATGTTCATTCACAACAATTCCTCCAGAGTCCAGGATTATTCTGCAGGGTTCCACATTGTTTTTCTACTTGTCCCGTACCCTTATAAAATATTTATTTATGAGCAGTTATCAAATAACAACAAAGATCAACGTTATTTATGTGTCATCTTTATTTAAGTAAATGAATCTGGAGATTTGCCCACATCCTCTTAACACCAACCAACTAAACTCCTGTTTACAGGATAATTGAAATGCTCGTTAGTTCTTAAGTTTATAAATGTAGCTTTTACCCGTTGCAGTTTTCTCTCATGTGCCCGATCGGCACTGCACGAGGGCAACTCTCAAAAGAGATGAGAAGGAAGGGAAGCTGAGATGGCTCGCTCCTTACCTACTTCCATCATTGTCTCTGGGAAAAAATCAGTGTGTTGAATCATTTTTCAGTTAGATTAACTAGCCCGCCGTGGCATTTTACTATCCCCAGGCAAGGGGGCAATCCTTATTGTTATTGTCACTTTAATCCTAAATGATGTTGTCATATTTACTAAAGACCACAGTGACTTTAAAGTCCAACATAGTCTGTTGCAGCATACATATCTGCTCTGTAAATCTCTTATCCTTCAAGGGATACGGTTTGTATATTTCTTTAAACGATGGTGTGTAATATTTGTGTTTCTCGTCCCCTCCAGACGGCAGGTCATGACCCGTACTGCTTTGTGGAGTTCTATGAGTATAGACATGCCACTGCCACAATCGCAGCCATGAACGGTCGGAAAATACTGGGTAAGGTAAGCTATCATATCTCCTGGGTGAGTCGACTATGGCGAGGCTGGGTGGGCATGGTTGAAAATGAAGCAACTGGAAAGACGTGTATCTTTTTTAGATCTTCTCACACTTCCTTGTTCCTGCTCCACTGCACTTTAATTTGTTTTTATTCCCCTGCGCACGTTATTCTTCTGTGCACAATCTGAAATGACCGCGGCGGGAATGCCAGTAATGTTACTTCTGTGAACTCAAAACAACATAATGTCTTCATACTCGACGATGTGAGCTTTTTGTTTTTCTTTGGAATTGTTTCTCGTGGTATTAAAACTAGTCGGTAGATCCCTCAAGTAGCCATGATAGATTCAAATAATTAGAGTAAAATTATTATATTATTATAGTGTTTTCTGCCCTCACAGTTGTAGGTTTAGGAGGCCAATATGTTATTTTTTATTCCTGTAATTAGAGAGAAGCAAATTCATTCAGACTGATGCGGTTTATTACATTTTGACACCTTTTATGATTGAATTGAGACTCTTTCTTATCTTTTGAACCGGCACTGAAACTATGAATATGTCAATATCTGTTTTTAGCAATATTTATGTTGCATCATATTCTAATATAAGTGAATTGTCACACACACAAAAAAAAGCTCAAGTCTTCTGTTCATGCAGTCTGTTTTACATCCTAGGGCCTTTTTTAAATAAATAAACACTATTTACTTTTTCTAAACATAATATATTGTTTGGTCTATATAGTAGAATAGCAAAAAAATAAACAAGTTTATATGATGAGGTGTCTTGTTTTGTCCTGTTTTCAGTTGAATATTAAAAGAAAACTATGAAACAGCAAATATCCACACTGAAGAAGCTGGAACCAATTATAATATTTTACTTTATATACTAATAATAAGTGGATCAGAATACTTGCACATTAAGCAAACTTTTACATTAGACATTTGACCAATTAGGTTATAAAAGCCTTTACAAATCTCCAAAAGCAGGATCTTTTGCGGGCTGTAGCATTATATGACATAAAAATAATATCTAATAAACTACTAACTTGCATTGTGTATCTACACAGGTGTAAACAAGGTGCTGTTTGAAATACTGTCACATAATGCATCATTGTGTCTCATGTTGATTGATTGGTTTGTTGAACATGGCCCTGCTGTGTAATCGTGCTACATGTCTCTGATCTCCTTGAACTGATGCTCTTCTGTCCCCTCACGTGTTTACTGCTCTGTGTTCTTTTGCAAAGTTATTTCCACTTAGAATCCACATAAGAGCAACTTCAAGAGAAAATACATTCAGTTGAAAATATTTTATCCTCAACAGGTATTGAAGGACCATTTGAGGAGTATAACAAGTTCGTAAAAATCACTTGTTTGTAAGTCCCTTGTTATTTGGACCTTACTTCCTACAGTTTTGCTCCAAATTTTTACTTGACTGAAATGTTCCTGATAATGAAGGTGAAATCTTGATATCCCTTTTATAATCTCCACTGTATTTATTACTGTTCTATTAACTAATGCAAAGGTATGTAAAATTAGGTAATAACAATGAATGAATCAGTTTGTCGTGTTGGTTTAAGAACCCACGTAAGGCCTACAGAGACCACCTTATGACAACAAATTCTCAATCACAGAATATAAAAGTAAACTGGTGTGTGACAGCCTCTAATCAGAGAGAAAGCACCTTCCTCCCTTATGCAAGCGTCCTTCACTTCTCACCTTCTTCCCTCTTCCTTCCGCTCTCGACTGTCTCCTGCAGGAGGTCAAGGTCAACTGGGCCACGACGCCAACCAGCCAAAAGAAAGACACAAGTAGTAAGTAGTTCATCGCGGTTACAGGGTTTCTTCATCGCGGTTACAGGGTTTCTTCGTCGCGGTTACAGGGTTTCTTCGTCGCGGTATGTTCGTCGCGATTTCTTCGACGCGGTTTCGCATTTTCTTCGTCGCGGTTACACGGTTTCTTCATCGCGGTTTCATGTTTTCTTCATTGTGGTTACACGGTTTCTTCATCACGCATTCTTTCTTCATCACGCATTCTTCATCGCGGTTTCATGTTTTCTTCATTATGGTTACACGGTTTCTTCATCACGCATTCTTCATCGCGGTTTCATGTTTTCTTCATTATGGTTACACGGTTTCTTCATCACGTATTCTTTCTTCATCACGCTTTCTTCATCGCGGTTTCATGTTTTCTTCATTGTGGTTACACGGTTTCTTCGTCGCGGTTTCTTCATCACGGTTTCACGCATTCTTCATCACGGTTTCTTCATCACGCTTTCTTCATCACGCTTTCTTCATCGCGGTTCAAATATCATCACGTTCCAAACACAATACTCGGTATATAAAAACTTGTTTGTTTAAAATAAACTGTTCTGGATAAAACGTACATGAAAACATAATAATACCCGCAACAATAAAATAGAAGTACAAAATAGCAACAGGTGTTATGCCATAAGCAGCGATTTCATTCATTATTTTAGTAAATAAAGTTCTTAAGAGTCAGACTTACCTGTCCGGTTGGCAGTGTTTTTATCTTATCACTGACATCATGCGATCTGTGTTTTCTTCGTGTTAAATTGTTTGTGTGAACGTCTGTTTTGTTTTCTTCAGGTCACTTCCACGTCTTTGTTGGAGATTTAAGTCCTGAAATCACCACAGATGACATAAAAGCAGCTTTTGCTCCATTTGGGAAAATATCGTAAGTGTATTCTTATCATCATTATTAGTGTAATTCTATATTTTATTCTATATTGCCATTTTGGATCAGACATGCTACATCATTAGCATGCTTTAAATCCCTTTCTTTATGGATATTTAATATGTTGCTGGCTTTTATCCTTGATATTTTACGTTTTGTTAACTTAACGTTATTTGTCCACAGGGATTGTCGAGTGGTGAAAGACATGGCCACAGGTAAATCTAAAGGCTATGGCTTTGTCTCCTTCTTCAACAAATGGGTAAGTGTGCCAGTAATGCCCATGTGTGAGAGGACTGAGAACACATTAGTTAACGTAGTTGAAGCTCAGGGTTTACATGCAGTGAGACGGTACGCTTCGTTGATGGCTGAGGGGTTCTGCGTGTTTCTCTCTCTGATCAGGATGCGGAGAACGCCATCCAGCAGATGGGAGGCCAGTGGTTGGGAGGAAGGCAGATCAGGACCAACTGGGCCACAAGGAAGCCTGCTCCTAAAACTACCAACGAGAGTAAGTTCACTGGAATTCAATCAAAGAAGAATGAATCTGTATCTCAGCTCTCTTACCTGTCGTACTTGTCAAAGATTCCCACATCTTCTAAATCACCTGAGAACACAAAATTACTGAATTTCTCTTGGGACTAATAAACACTTCACCGTAGCAGAGGCACACGGTTGTGTTCTTATATTTTGAGAAAAGACAACTTAAATAGAACCTTGCTCTATCTCTTCATTTAGCACCCAACACCAAGCAGCTATCTTTTGACGAGGTGGTGAACCAGTCCAGCCCCAGCAACTGCACCGTCTACTGCGGGGGGGTCACCACAGGCCTCACAGGTGAGTTTGTCCTTAAGACCGAGCTGCAGGGATTAAAAGCACTTATTTTAATACAGAATGTTAACGGTTTCATTTTCCTTTTTAGAGCAAATCATGAGACAGACCTTCTCACCTTTCGGCCAAATAATGGAAATCCGGGTTTTCCCCGACAAAGGCTACTCGTTTGTGAGGTAAGGGGACTTTATTTGATGCAATGAAAATTTTAATGATTCTTCCATGTCCTGAAAAACTATTTTTAGTAGTTTAATTATGTATCATAAGCTGCTTAGAGCTAGTCTTAAAACAGGTCACGATTCCCCCTTTATCATCTATGTTATGTTGCTTCAAACAACTGGATTTATTGAAGTTTCTCAAGTTTACGAGACTCTATTTGAACGCCTCATGACAGCGTTATAATTTAGCTTCGCCCCAATACTCCTGTTTACTGAGTAGAGCTTGAAAGCAGCATGATGCTGTCATCTGAAAATCAGAGTTTTTTTCCCCCGTTGCATCTTTAATACGAACCTCACGACGACGCTCTTTTTCTGTGTGCAGGTTCAACTCTCATGAAGCAGCAGCTCATGCCATCGTGTCCGTCAACGGTACATCCATAGAGGGCTACGTCGTGAAGTGTTACTGGGGCAAAGAAACGACAGACATGGTTAGCCCCATCCAGCAGGTACAGATGCCACAGGTATGTACACAAAGGACTGTCCTCCCTGGTCTGCTTCCGTTACAGTGACTCCCTGCTGGACCGCTTCATCTCACTGTGGTGCAATGTGACACTTAAATATATAATTCTGTACGTCAGCAGAACACGGTGAGCTTCGCAGCGCAGCCCTACAGTCAGTGGGGTCAGTGGTACAGCAACACGGCGGCCGCCCAGCAGATCGGGCAGTATGTGCCCAACGGATGGCAGGTGCCAAGCTATGGAGTCTACGGACAGAGCTGGGATCAGCAGGGCTACAAGTGAGTACGAGAGAGGACGCGGGATTGAAAGGAACGGCTTTCTTGCTTAACGCAGGTGTATAAATCCAGCTTTACTGTCCTTCTATACACTTGTATATGTACATATACACTTGTTACTTCAAATGTCCAGTGGCAGAAGAAGTATTCCGGTCTTTTACTACAGTGTAAAATGACTCTGGTAAGAGTCCTGCCTTAAACCCAGTCGATCTAGTAAAATGTTGATTTATATTTTGTATAACCGTCTTGTCTCTGTGTGCCGTTTCAGTCATTTACATGCCGGTGCCGGATGGACAGGTGTGGGCGCCGTGAGTAACGGGGCCATGGTGGAGCCGGGCCAGGGAGTCAACGGGGCCGTGCTCACCAACACGGCCGGCATGAGCACCGCCGGCTACCACACCCACTGATCACCGCTCACAGTAGGCCGCTCTAAAGCCTCTAAAGGGCCACAAGGATGATACTCTGCTGGGGGGGAAGGAGCGCATTAGATGTGCTCTCTGTCGCCACACAAACGTTATTCTGTTAGAGAAGCTGGTACGCCATGTTTTTTTTTTAATTTTTATTTTAAAACAACCTTTACCAGCCCATAACTTCACCCACTGCCCAAATCTGCAAGTGTAAAACAAACAACAATCCACTCCAGAACACGTAAATATGTCAAATCAGCTATTCCTCGGCCCATTTCTATTGTTTGGCGTATTTTTGTAATGCCTGCAGATGACTGGCCAAATGTAAATTATACGACCGTGTGTGTAGATATTTCTAGCACAGCCACGTTTATAATTTAAGAGAAACACCGACTAATTATAGCTAAAACACCAGGTTTTTGTTTTTGTTTTCAGCCCCTCAGAGCCAAAGAGCAAGGGCGGGATTTTATACCAATGTTTAACAATCATACAGGGAGACAGACGGCGCTCATTAATCCATAGTAAGTAATGCAATGTATTGAGGAAGGAGTGCCATTTTAATTTGTTCCTCTCGCTCTCACTTCTGGTCCGAGGCAGTTCTCAGGGTGTTTGTCGACGTCATTCTGTGAAATGTAGGAAATCACTGAGCAGGCCAAGTAGGCAGGTTGAGGGGAAAAGTGGAAACGATTAAGATTCAGCGCTCCTTCACTTTCATCTGCCGGAACACGGACTGAACAGACCGAAGAGACTCCTGTGTGTGTGCGTGCGTGTGTGTGTGTGTGTGTGTGTGTGAGAACTGATGCTTTTACACACAAGAACAATTCATCTTCCCCTGAAACAGAAAGGACTACGCCATCTTTTTTTTTTTTTTTTTTTTTTGCAACTGATAAAATTGTGTCGTTTTCTTTCTTTTTTTGTTTTGTTTTCAGCAACTTTAAAAATGACGACATTGTATAAAGAGCTTTTGCCTTTTTTTTTTTTTTTTTTTGTGTTTCATTTCGGGACTGTCTTATAAGGAAACGTTGCAGTGACACCATCGAGAATCATCCGACACGCGAGACCTTTTTTATGTTTGTTTATGAAACACTAAGTGGCTGTCAACTGTCAACTTTTTATTTTTTCAATTAGATTTTCAATATCTCAAATGAACCAATTGCAGGGATTACTGCCACTCTTATCTTACTTATAGGCAGGTGAATATTGCACAAATACTTAAGGTTACCGTTTCACACAATTTGAAAATACTCGGTTGTTTTTATGTTTTTGCATTCCACATTCTTTTGTCTGTTTTTTATGTATATAACCAAACAGTCTGTTGAATTGTACTGAATCTGTATAAAGACAACATGTTAATGAAGGTTGATGGACTCCACAAACAGCTGTTTGACAGTAGCATCCCTGTCGAGCGCTGGTCCGTGTACAGTAGAGGCAACATTCGATTCTTCCAGTGACTCTGCATGAAAAAGCAGCATTGCTATGCAATGCAAGAGCCTTTTTCAATTGACAAGTAATACATCATTAAGTTATTCTGTCTCAAAACTAAATAATTGTTTTTATAGATCAAGAAAACAACCATATGAGGATCCAAGTTTTGCACTGTGGCCACCACCATTTTTAATAGAGCTGGAAAACATCCATTGTGTTGCCTTATCCGTGAGTTACTTTTTTTTAAAAATTTAACCAAAAGATCATCCAGGAGTAGGCGGTGACTAAGAATGTTTTCAACCTTTGTTTTGGCGAGAGAAGGTCTGTCGATGCTTCAGTGACATGGTTTGAGTTTTTGCTTTGTCCCCATTAAAATGCTGATGCTTAAAACAGATCCCAGTTACACTGTTTGCATCTTTAAAACCAGGTGGAACGGGTTTGACAAAATTCACTGTATTCACATGTATTATATTCAGTGTGCAGACTTTATTCTTTTAACATATAATTAGTCACCGTTATAGATCACTTTCACGTGCGATTAATGTGCTCATTATTTTCTTGATTAGTTAACCATGAAATGTAAAAAAAAAAAGTGTCTTCAAATGTTTTCTATTGTCCAACCAAAAGTCCAAAACCTAAATATGTTCAATTTTATATCATATATGACAAAGAAAAGCAGCACATATTTCACATTTGAGAAGTGGAACCAGAGAGAACTTTTATTTAGCTTAAAAATGAAATGACTGAGACTTTTTCTAATCATACTTTATGATTAGTTTGTCTGCTATTAGACTAATAGATTAATCAATTCATAATTTCAGTTTAAATATAGTGCAATGTGTAGTGGGTGGACAAAAACCAGAACCTCTAAATGTAAGGTTGTATGACGCCATGTTAATTATGTTCATCTCTTTACGTTTAACAATTAGGAAATACAACTGCAATGCTTTATATTAATTTATGTTTTACATCCTGAGTATATTTGGGTTTTGGACTCTCGGTCTGAAGACTTCAACAGAAATGAAAATATTTAAAGACGATCAGTCAATTAATTCAACATATAACATTACAAGGTTTTTGTCATTGTATGACAGGGTTGCACAACGGAATATATATATATATATATATATATATATATTACTGCTCAAAAAAATAATGGGAACACTTAAACAACACAATGTAACTCCAAGTCAATCACACTTCTGTGAAATCAAACTGCCCACTTAGGAAGCAACACTGACAATCAATTTCACATGCTGTTGTGCAAATGGAATAGACAACAGGTGGAAATTATAGGCAATTAGCAAGACAGACACCCCCAATAAAGGAGTGGTTCTGCAGGTGGTGACCACAGACCACTTCTCAGTTCCTATGCTTTCTGGCTGAAGTTTTGGTCACTTTTGAATGCTGGCGGTGCTTTCACTCTAGTGGTAGCATGAGACGGAGTCTACAACCCACACAAGTGGCTCAGGTAGTGCAGCTCATCCAGGATGGCACATCAATGCGAGCTGTGGCAAGGTTTGCGGTGTCTGTCAGCGTAGTGTCCAGAGCATGGAGGCGCTACCAGGAGACAGGCCAGTACATCAGGAGACGTGGAGGAGGCCGTAGGAGGGCAACAACCCAGCAGCAGGACCGCTACCTCCACCTTTGTGCAAGGAGGAACAGCAGGAGCACTGCCAGAGCCCTGCAAAATGACCTCCAGCAGGCCACAAATGTGCATGTGTCTGCTCAAACGGTCAGAAACAGACTCCATGAGGGTGGTATGAGGGCCCGACGTCCACAGGTGGGGGTTGTGCTTACAGCCCAACACCGGGCAGGACGTTTGGCATTTGCCAGAGAACACCAAGATTGGCAACTTCGCCACTGGCGCCCTGTGCTCTTCACAGATGAAAGCAGGTTCCACTGAGCACATGTGACAGACGTGACAGAGTCTGGAGACGCCGTGGAGAACGTTCTGCTGCCTGCAACATCCTCCAGCATGACCGGTTTGGCGGTGGGTCAGTAATGGTGTGGGGTGGCATTTCTTTGGAGGGCACACAGCCCTCCATGTGCTCGCCAGAGGTAGCCTGACTGCCATTAGGTACCGAGATGAGATCCTCAGACCCCTTGTGAGACCATATACCGGTGCGGTTGGCCCTGGGTTCCTCCTAATACAAGACAATGCTCGACCTCATGTGGCTGGAGTGTGTCAGCAGTTCCTGCAAGACGAAGACATTGATGCTATGGACTGGCCCGCCCGTTCCCCAGACCTGAATCCAATTGAGCACATCTGGGACATCATGTCTGGCTCCATCCACCAACGCCACGTTGCACCACAGACTGTCCAGGAGTTGGCGGATGCTTTAGTCCAGGTCTGGGAGGAGATCCCTCAGTAGACCATCCGCCACCTCATCAGGAGCATGCCCAGGCGTTGTAGGGAGGTCATACAGGCACGTGGAGGCCACACACACTACTGAGCCTCATTTGGACTTGTTTTAAGGACATTACATCAAAGTTGGATCAGCCTGTAGTGTGTTTTTCCACTTCAATTTTGAGTGTGACTCCAAATCCAGACCTCCATGGGTTAATAAATTTCATTTTCATTGATAATTTTTGTGTGATTTTGTTGTTGGCACATTCAACTATGTAAAGAACAAAGTATTTAATAAGACTATTTCATTCATTCAGATCTAGGATGTGTTGCTTAAGTGTTCCCTTTATTTTTTTTGAGCAGTATATATATATATATATATATATATATATAAATAAAAATTTAAAAAGGCTAAAGTCGACCTGAAAACGAATCTAAAAGCACCCGGCCACCAAGCTACATGAACTACACTTCCCATGAGTCCGCGCTCCCGAAGAGGCCGCCCCCCATTTTTTTCACCACGTGATCGCCTCCGACCAATGGGGAGTGTCGTTACAGGCGCAATGCGGTTGTCGGGATGTAAGGAGGAATGGCGACGGTCGAGACGGTTTTGGAGGCCAGAGTTGAGATGAATGTGGACCAAACAGAAGCCGAACACAGGTATTTTAAACATTTCTCACGCGGTGAGGTCGCGTGCGACCCGCGAGGTGTGTTTACAGCGAGGTGGAGCCGCATGTTAACATTTACATGATACAATCTGCAGCATTATAACGCATTTAACTGACAAATTAGCAAAACTTAAGGAAGCAATGACGTTTTAAATAAAGTTTAATATTGCAATTTTACTTTTTGCATAAAAAAGCATTGATTGTTTTTACTTCACTTTACTCTCACTCTATGATACATGAATGACACTTTAAGATTTACTATATTTATTACTACCTGTACCCACAGACAATATCACAATACAGTGTGTGTATATATACATATATATAGACAAAAAATTATTTATTACATACAATACTGTTCAAAAGTTTGGACTCACCTGTTCCTTCAATAATGGCTATTTAAAAACAGTATAATTCAGTTACCAAATGTATTATTTTGCCATTTAAATACTTTTGGCCCCAAAAGAAGAATAATTAAATGATTCCCACAGTGTTGCCTGACAGGAGAGCTACTGTTGGAACCCAGTCTGGTTGAACTGTTACACAACTTTTGTTTCTCCGTGTACAAAACATAATCTCAACATAAATGTATTATTTTTCCTCCTCCATCTAGGTCTCAATCCCTTCTGTTCCAGCTAAACTGTCAGTGACAGAGAGTCCCAAAGATGGAAACAGAAGTAACGGCGTCGTCGTCCTCGTCGAACGTTGTCTCGTCCTCCGCTCCCCAGACCTTCACCGCTCAGGCCAACCTGGCAGCAAAGCAGAGAGATGGCAAAAAGACCACAGCCGCCACTCCCGCCTTCCTCTCCAACCTGGGGAGGGCCACCCTGAGAGGGATTCGCAAGTGTCCGCAGTGTGGCGTCTATAACGGCACCCGGGGGCTCAGCTGCAAGAACAAAGCGTGCGGGATTACCCTCAGAAATGCGTCTGCGGCAGCGGGCAGGAGCAGCAGGAAATGTGCGGTGGACGTGGTGAGGGTGATAATAGACAGTGAGGAAAGAATGGAGAAAGAGCGTGAAGGTGTGGGAGGAGGAGGAGGAGGAGGAGGTCTGGGTGGAGGCTCAGCTACAGGAGTGCAGGTGTTCTCGGTGTGTCACAGAGGAAGAGGAGCCACAGCCACGCAGTTGGGCTTCGTTGAACTTGTCCCCACAGACACGGCCATAGCGACAGGTGACGGCGCTACCCTGCTGACCCGCATCAACCTGGGACGCTGCTTTTTGTCGTCGTGCAGGCAGGGTCAACGGTCACATCAGGGCGAGACCGAATCAGGGGCGGCGGGCTCGAAACAGTCCTCAGACAGCCTCTGCGTCCACATCAAGCAGGCGATAGAGTGTCGGAGCTGCTCCACGCCGCTGACCTTAAAGAGCTCTGTCCTGGAGGGTCTGCAGGCCTCCCTTCAAGCCAGGAAGGAGCTGTGGAGGCTGGCCACGGAGTCCCCGGGCCCCCTGGTGCAGCGCGTCGCAAAAGACACCCTGGTGGTGAAGTGCCACGTAGATTCCCAGCATCCTCTGGGGCTGCTGCATCTCACCGTGGGTGCGGGTGGACTGTCTGAGGGTTTAAAGCGCGAGAGAAAGGGCAGAGAGCAGCAGCATGATGGCGTCTTCCACTGTGCCTGTCAGGTCAGCAGCAGCAGCAGGAAGAGCAAACATGGTGTCGATCCTGCAGGTGGGTCCACCAACTCTCATCCTCCGTCTCTCGGCCCGGTCACGTCACAACCCTGCCTGCACTTCTACGCCTGTGTGTGCGCCTTTGCAAGCGATGAGGAACTGGCGTCAGAGTTCACCGCGTTCATCAAGTACACCCCCAGTGGTAAAGTACACTGAGCCGGTTGTTTTCTGTCTGATTTTAAAAGAATAGTTTTACATTTTGGTAAAATACTTGCTGAGAGTTTGAGCTATTTCTTATGAAGTCTTTTTTCTGTGTTTGTCTTTTCTCAGGTGTGCAGCACAACGCTACCTGTAGAGTAGTGAGTCCCGGTGAGAAGCCTCTGCAACAGGCCGACCCGCTCAACGCTCGCCTCAAGACAAAGAAGCTTCGCCTGGATGAGCCTCTCTCTGGTGGTTTCATCGTTAACACCTCTGGAACTATCTGTTATCACCACATTAATGCAGGACGATTCTCCAGAGCATGTTTGTCTGAATCTTCCACTTGTCCTTCCTTCTCTTTCTCGCCTTGTCGTTCTTTTTTTATTCCCTGCCTCAGTGGCCTCTACCTCTGGGGTGTGGAGGAGAGCCGGTCAGAGGAGAGCCCCTGGTGCTGGTGGGCTGAAGGCTCCAGGTGCTGCCTGCCCGCCCTCCTTTCCTTTACCTTTTTTCATCTTTCTGCCTAAATCTGTGTGTCAAAGAGAGCCTCACATCATCTTAGACATCTGTCTCTATCTTTATCATCCCCCCTGTCTAATCCCGCAGCACTAATCCCAATCCACTATTAAAAAAGAGGGTCGCACTGCAGTGGCCGTGTTTGCAGGCCTTTTTTATTAACTAAACTTGACAGACTTTAAAGAGTAAATATCTGGTCTGGTGGGTGGTCCACCTAGAAGCTTAAAGAAGATAATGAAGTTTGTTGCGGTATTTATAATCCGTGTGCTTGTGTCTCAGGGAGCTCGCAGCTCGTGGATGAGCGGATGGTGACGATGGGCTTCCAGCAGTGGCTGGCCGGCGTCACAGAGAGGATCCACCAGACGATGCACTACCAGTTCGATGGTAAAGATGAAGCTCTATGAAGTCATGTCAGTGGTTCATAGTTGAAGAAATAGATCAAGAGTTTGGGGAATGCTTCACTTTCTTGCAGAGAGTCAGATGAAGAAATTGACACCATTCTGATGTCTGCACTGTAAATATATATAAGGCTACAGTGGTTAGCTTAGCTTAGCATAGAGACTGGAAACGGGGGGGAAAGGCTAGCCTGGCTCTGTATAATGGTAAAAAAAATCCACCTACCAGGCAGAACCTCTAAATTTTATTTATTTTTCGTTCCATTTAGACAGAGCCAGGCTAGCTGTTTCCCCCTGTTTCCAGTCTTTATGCTAAGCTACGCTAACCAGCTGTTTGTTGCCTTAAATGTACCACACAGACATAAGAGCGGCTTCAATCTTCTCATTGCGAAGAAAGAGTACATTACCTAAATACTCCTTTGATACATGAGGGAGTAAAAAAGGATTTCTCACAATCTGGTAACCCATAATCATAGATTCATAAATCACTATTAAATGAACTCAAACCTGTTCATCTTTGCAGGTTGACGGTTGCTTTGTTGCACACAGTAAGAGGTTTTTGGTGTTGATGTTTTTCCGTCAGGGAAACCAGAACCTCTGGTGTACCACATACCTCAGGAGTTCTTCAACGCTCTGCAGCAGCGGCTGTCGCTGGGCTCCAAGAAGAGGAGGCTGCCCAACTTCACAACAGGTGGAGCAACACAATACCCTTAATTATATTAATTATGTAATTACACATCATTCATTTGGTCATTACCAGGAAATCTGGAGCTACAAGTGTTTAAGGTGCACTGTACCCAGATATCTCAGTGATGGAAAGTACATTTACTCAAGTACTGTACTTTTTGAGATCCAATACAATATAATTATACATACATTATAATACAATTTTGAGATACTTGTACATTACTTGAATATTTCCACTCCATACTTCTCCTCCACTACATTTTGGTGGCAGTTATTGTGCTTTCTTTAAACCACTCCATTTATTTTACTTTGCAGAATCAGATTCTTGATACTAAATATAAATCAACAAATACTTTATGATGTATTAATATAGGTTAAGCTACCCAGCAGTATATAAAGTTATGACATTGAGTCACTAATTAATATAATAATGTATTTGATTCTGAATAACGTTCTGCATAACGAGTACTTTTATTTTTCATAGTTTTTAGTATATTTTAACTAATAAATTAGAGTTTTTAATGCAGTAAAGTATTTCTACCTTGTGGTATTGCTACTTTTACTCAAGTAAAATACTTCTTCCATCCCTACATTTTGAATGACGTTTTACCTGTAATGAACTTTTACATTATTATATATATAAATGATCTAAATACTTCTTCCAAACCACAAATAAGTGAACAAATGTGGACTCTCTTTCTCTCTCCTTGTGTGTTTTTTGTGGTCGTCAGCGTTTGTGAGGAATGACGGACTTCCTCTCGGCTCTTTCTCTAAGTACACCTGGCACATCACCAACCTCATGCAAGTCAAACGCATCTTTGACTCCTCGGAGGTAAACGCTCTCTGAACGTTGTTCTCTTATAATCCAGCTGCCATAAAGCGGAGAAGATATATATATTACTATGTCATACATTCAAACTTACTCTCTTCTGTCCATCAGCTGCCTCTCGAGCTCTTTCAGAGTTTTGTAAAGAACGCTGACGGCTCTTATTCAAGTTTCCGCTGCCCCGAGCCTCCGCCTGAACCAGAACCACCAGAGGGACACAGGACAGATCGGCCGCAGGCCATACGGCCGATGGAGCTCCGCACCTTCCTCAAAGTCGGTGAGTGACGTCGTTTTATGCATCTTAAAGTATCGGCATGAAGTCGGCTGTATTTGAACACCTGCCGCGTCTCCTCAGGACCAGCGGATCAGAAGGAGGCCGCTCCGTTCGTGATCGAGTGGATCCCGGACGTGCTCCCTCGCTGTCGCATGGGAGAGCTCAGGATCGGCTTCGAGTTCGGCCACCAGCAGAGCGGTCAGCCAGAGAACTGTGAGAAAACGAGTGCGGCGGAGGCGGAGAAGGGAGGCCGTTGAAATCCTTCAGCTGGTCGTCTAACGACAGTAACACTAATCCGTTGTAACTGCCTCTGTGGAGGACAGATATGGATTCATATGCCTCAGTCTGTGACTTACCCCATGTGTCATTGTTGTATTATGCAAGATAATCAATTGCCATGTGAATTACCCAGTGTCATATTGATCAGTATTTTTTACACAATCACGTCAGTAGCGCTCATCATGATGCCTTTGACTCACTGCTAAATATCCATATTTATTTGCTGTTTTAGTGACTAATTCCAGCAATTAGCAACTCGGCCATGTTTGTTCTTACGAGCTTCAGTGAGGAGATTCCAGGCTGATTGGCTGTTGGGTGAGGCGTTCTGTTTATGGATTGATTACCTTTTGTATTTTATGCAAACCTGTGCAGCGATATGAGGACTGGCTGCCCAGTGAATACAATCATGTGATCTCCCCGTCACCCATGCATCGTCTGTTGCACCTGTGCCCCACATAGAATATACCTGCCTCACTCATCCAGAGATCAGATAGGCTCCCAGTGTCAACCAGACATACTGTACATACACAGACATGAGTCATGGCTCCTACACAAATACAAAACAGACAATAAAAGAAGTATATTTTTGTATTTTCTTCTCGAGACAGATCATATAACCAGTAAAAATTTAAATAATATGAACTCTTTGTAAACGTGCGTAAGTGTTCCTCACAACGGGTAAACGTGTTGGTTCATTTGGGAAAATAAAGATATCTATATAATATATATATATATATATATATATATATATGTATAAAGACAGATTGTATTGTTTTGCTATGTAAGCGTAAAGAAAATAAAACACATTTAATAGATGACATGTCTGTTAAGATACATAACTCAAGAGTGGATAAATGGATCAACTTTCTACTAATGTTGACATTTTTGTATTTACGTGAAATATCTTCACAGCTCTTGATTGACTATCAATTAAAGTGACATTTGGTTCAGACGTGCATGTTTCCTCTCTGGATGAAATGTATTAAATCGATGACATCCCCATCAAACTCACCTGTACTTTGTTTTTAGTGCAAATGTTAGCACGCTAAACGAAGATGGTGAACATTAGATAATATCATTATGGATTAATGCAAGACATTATATAATCGTTTTTAAAATGGTGTGTTGATTGTGCTTGGCTTGAGTTTGATGTGATAACATAATGCTCAAAAGTGTCCCAAGTGTGGAAGGTGGTGTCTCTAACGTGCGCAAACTCTCGTGAGATTTTCTGCCTAACAACCTACCATAACTACAACCATTAATGTATCTGTTTTGGAACGTGCTCCGCTGGAAGTGAGGTGTATTGGTGTAATGGGTTAATGCTGGAGAAAACTTTCTGTGGAAAGAAGTTGCTCTTCTCGTGAGTTGATGGATGCTCAGACGTCCACCAGCAGATGGAGACATTCGCCTTCTCTAACGCAAGTAGAGAAGGTGGAATACATGTTACAAGTTACACCGATTTACAAGATGACTGATGATTAAATGAGAAAAGTTGATCTACAGGAGAATACATATTTGAAAGCAGTACAGAATACTTGAGAGCCTTGATGCAGAATGTTCCAACATATTCTTTTACATTTTGAATTGTCACCTGGTGCCTAAATTTAGTGTTTTCCTTTACATGAATAAAGACTTTTCCATCATAAATGTATGCAGAAAACAAAAATCCCTATTATGCAGGAAATTAAGGGTTTGATGCTCAAATAGTTTTTGGGGAAGACCCCCCCTACTTAATATGTTTCCCTACCAATGTTGAGACCAGACCTACGCCTTTGGAGTCAATGCTGGAGGCACTTTTTGTGGAAAGAAGTAGTTCTGTGGGTTGATGGATGCTCAGACTTCCCCCAGCAGATGGAGATATACGCCTTCTCTTTGTGCCACTGGATTAAAGCTTTTTAGTCAAAATAGAGAAGGTGGAATCCATGATAGGATTAATCAAACCGACTTACTTTCAGAAATTCAGTGTAACCAGTGCCTCGTTGTTCTCCGTTTCTGTTAGAAATTCAGTGTTGAACTGCATTTCGTAATTTGGCTGGATCTGGCTCGCTCCCTTCTGGGCATCACAAAGCAGGAATTACACACTCGCTGTGAGATATAACACTGGAAACATCACACACATGCTTCCAAATATATGTCCAAATGTTCATGAATTAATTAAAGATTACAAGTTAATACCATGAGAACGTCACGCCAAATTATATGCACTCCTCGGAAATAGCAGGCTGCACACTGCGTCTCTACATCAGGGGTGTAGGCGGGTAAGAACACTGCCAGCCATCGGCCTCCTTCCTCCCTCACAGGCCCCCAGGACATCAGTGTTGACTACAGCCTCTCTGCCTGCACAGGGGGCCCGGCTGCCAGACAGCTCTGAGCCACGCATTTAGCTGTTTATGTAGTCTGTCAGTCACAGAGATGCATCAATCCTCTCCTGGAAGGAATAGCGAGCACATTGTGACAGAGAGACTTCCTCCGTCGCCTGAAAGATGTGTTACAGACAGAGACAGAAAGGGCTTGAGAGGGGAGGTGGGGGGGGGGGGCTGGGAGTAGGAGGGACGGGGAAAAAATGCTGTCCATAAAGCAGAAAATGTTTAATATTATTTTATTAAAAAAAGACAAATGCCGTGGCTACATCAGAAAGTAGTACGATTAAAATACTTCTGAGCAAAATATTTGGGTCTAGCTTGGAGCTTCAGTCACAACAGCTCCTTGAGTTTCTCTCTATTTTCTCTGTACTCTTTCATTTACTTCCCCCATTTAATAAAAAGTTATTAAAGATAAAGAGTTCTCTGTAATAGCTTTAGTTAGCAAACTACCTCAGCTCAGTCGCTAATGGAACAATAAGCCGGTGTGCTCAGGGTCTACAGTCCACAGTCTTTGTAACTTGGCGCGCACGAACACGTGACTGTCACAAATAGTTCACTGATAAAAGCACTATTTACATGTCTGGGGATTAACAGGAGGTCTTAAAGTCTTCATTTGAATGTATATTTTGGCAGCCAAATCATATAGTTTACATGATATTCAACCTTTTGTTTCTTTGTAATGCTTTTAATACGTGATTTGTGTCTTTAGAGATCTTGTATAAAGACAATAAAGTAGTCCATGAATATGAGATATGAGTGTACATATAATTACAATCCCTCCTCTGCATTGTGGAGGTTGGCTTCTGGCTTTTTTGTTACACCTACAGTCTATATATCTATACGGGTTATACTTGTTTGTACACCCTCTGGCATTTGGGAGAATAAAGCAGTGAGTATAAATGCCTCTGTGCGTGCTCGAAGGCTCGCGCTACGGTATGCTAACAAGCTCACAGTAATATTATTTACCATATTCACCATCTTAGTTTAGCATGTTAGTACGCTGACATTCATAAAATAATACTCAACACAGAGTAGAGCTGAAGCTGAGATAGCAACAACATCTTTAGTCTTGCAGGTAAAATATTGGACAAATTCGTAATTTGACCTGATGATGGCGCTAGATTAAAGTTAACAAATCAAACCAAAGTTGTTTCAGTTCATCCTCTGGGGATCATGAATGCCTGAACCAAGATATCATGGCCTTCCATCTAAAAGTTGTTTTGGACATTTTACTAAAAACAAACCTGGTGGTGGCGCTGGAGGAAAAATCAGGGAATCACCAAAGTCAGTAGTCATCATCTGGGGACCATGAATGTCTGTACGTCATCTCATGGGAATCCATTCTAAAATTTGCTGGGAAATGTCGGTCTGAACCAAAGTCATGCACTTATAGACAGACATTGCCAAACAAGTTTGTCAAAGAGAGAACATTTTTTTAAGTTTACGCAATTTTTACAACCACATGTCAAGCAGAATATGACAAAAGTTCATGGCCAAGTCACCTCTGTCCGTCTCTCTCATCGATGAGTGAGTGAGTGGAAGCAGCCAAAATAAAGCTGACCGTGACTGCATGTCTGTCAACACCAGGCAGCAGACAGCTCTCTTCCAGCTCCGTCTCTCCACGCTATCTGCACACAAAATGTTTTCCAACATCATAGGAATTGCATTTCCTGGCACACAGGGTGAGATCTATCTCTACCTTTGTTCCCGTCTTTTGTAATAGCATATTTTGGGGTTGAGAGCAGGTTACATCATTTCTAAAACAACCAACCACAGATGTTTTATTTCGGTGATGAGACACTCCTTCCCCCCAGGATCACCTCTCATTAATCAGACACTATCCGGAAATTGCCGTTGTTGTGCACATTAATGTTATTATAGACTATTTAAGTCAGAAAATGTGTAACTTTTAAAGATTGAGCTGTAACCTTACAGTGAACCTTGTAGCATTCTGGAGCTCATTGTTTTGGTTTTAAGGCCCCCAACTTGATTCACTCGCACGGCTCTCATCAACATGTACAATACCTGCTCACCACCAAAAGGCAGACAGACAAAATCAGCAAATAGCTTTTGTCGACCATGTTCACCATCTTAGTTTAGCGCGTTAGCATGCTAACGTCTGCGAGTTAACGTTAAACCAAAAGTACAGCCGGGGCTGATGGGAATGTCATTAGCTTTGCAGGCGTTCGGTCATAAACCAACGGCTAGACGGTAGATTGAAAGCCCATCGTTAGGATTCAATTATCTGGGGATTATGAATGTGTGAACCAAATTTTATGGCCATCCATCAAAGAGTTGTTGAGATATTTCAGCGGCGGATCGACCAGCGGTTCCATCTCTTAGAGCCACGCTGCTGGCATTGGCTCAAAACATTCAGGTGTATTGATTTTGTATTTCTGTATTTACTGTTCACATGCCCATCATCGTGATTTAAAGAAAAAGGTGTAATCTCTTTACATTCGAAGCTTTGAATGTCTGTTGTCATGTTTTATAACGTAATCACCATAAAAACATGGGGAAAATATGACTTTGTGTTAATTTGGCTCTATAAAAGTTATTCATTCAGGTGCGTGTGGGAGCACATTTTAAAATGTAGTTTTTGAAAGGCTAAACTCCAATAAATATGGATTGAAGCAGAATATTTTTGGAAGATAAAAACATGGAAGTTGGAAATGATCACATCGATCTGTTTTTAATACATTTTGACAGTTACAGAGAGCTGAGCACAGCGTCACTCGCCGAGTATGTTTGAGAAAGAAGTGGGAAGAGAAGGTGAGGGCCAATGGACTTCAGCACACAATATTTCTTTCATTTATTAATAATAATCATTTGAATGTCAATGTTATGAATGAAGCTTCGAACTATTTGGTACAGCCCTACTTTTCTTTTTGTTCTTCACTCAGTGGTCTGAAACAAGATAACTTGGACCAAAAAGCAAAATATCTTCCTCCTCATACGTCTAAATTATGTAGTTTTAGTACCACTTAGACGGCGGTGGCATCTTGCATCTGGTGTAGTAGTATACATGTGGAAAGTACTCATAAATCCTAGAAGGTACAAATCCTTTCTTACTTCCACTTTGGTAGTTTATTGTTGCATCAGGGATGGTCCCTCATGTCCAGAGTCAACTGTGTAATAGTAATAATGTCAGAAAGGTTACTCCAATCTGCACGCAATAAGTAGATACCGAGCTTTGCGTCTTTCTGCAGAAACTAAACCATTAAAAAGGGGAAAAAGCTCGAGGAAATGGCGATCATCAGTTTCAGAGGTCAGCATTTTCTGAGCCAAATGAACAAAGCCAAACACATTATCTGAGCCCTGCTGGCAGAGCCACACATATTAGATAT